GGGTCGCTAACGGACGCTGATTTCAGCCCTCTTCATTGAGGGCCCTCCTTGTGACAACACAAACCTGCATGATGTGGAGAGATAACCAGCAGTGTTTTTCCATAACAGTGTCATAACACAAACCCACATGATTGGACGGCTCATCATCATTGTTCGGTCTTGCCTGCTCCTCACAGGTCGCCTCTCCTCGATGTTTTTTCCTGGACGCAGCCATATGAATCAAGTCTTGCCGCGCTGACTGCATGCAACAGCAATATAGTTTTTGTTTTTTGCATGAGCCAGACATGAATTTGTATGCTTTGAAATGCCGAGGCCATGCTTTGGCCGCACTCATTAGGTCATCTTCCTTGCTTCCATTCGAATTCAGCTGTATCAGACAGCATTGGTTTGACATGACACGAATGTTTTCAATGAGTCTGCCGACAGATAGTTTTTCTGCGGTCAGTCATGCAGCCGCCCTGTGGTGTGGCCGAAGGCACATCTGATGCCAGGGTGTCAGACTTGAAGGAAGCCTTGGTGCAGAATGGCAAAGCACTGAAAGCGGCTTATCGGCAGAATGCCGGAAAAGGTTGCACTGTGCCGGCCTTGGAGTGGCAGCCCGCAAAACTGTGGTAGCTGTTTACATGCTGTCGAATTTTAACATGGATTTGACTCTCCGCATGGCTTGTGCTTTGACAACGATATCCCATGGCAGCAATGGGTACCCACGGCAGCGTTGATCCAAGAGATGTTGCTGACAACGCCGCTGCCAGATTTGACCGCTTTGGATGACACAGCTTCACGCAAAGCGCAAGCCTTCCTGGCCGAAGCAGCCACGGAGCAGTGGGTCTATGAGTGCAATACGAATCATTGTCAAGCACCTTCTGCGATGGACACGTTTTTGAAGTGGGAGGAGGCCTTCCATGGCCAGAAGCTGGACATGGGTGTGCCAAACAAACGCATGGTCAATAAGTGGGTGCAGCGCTGGCGGGCTCGGCGGGGCGTCCGCCGGAAGGTGCTGAAGCAAGTTGTTAGCAGAGACCCCGCTGTACTGCGCGACAAGGCGCGGGCCAGCCAACTTACAACATTTTGTCTTCTTTTTTGGGTTGGGTGGCTCCATTTTTGGGGCCGGAATGTGGCCCCAAAAATGGGTCCCCATCATGTTTCATGCCTGTATAAGCCTACTTAATCCCGGTTGGGCGGTCCCATTTTTGGGGCCAGAATCTGGCACCAAAAATAGGCCCCCATTTTCAATCAATTTCTTCCCTCGGAATTATATTTGGGGACCCTATATATAATAAGGCTTTGTCTTTCACTTCCTGCAACGCTCGAGCAGGTCATGACATTTTGGCGGACCATCTGCTATTGCCACAGCAGGTTCGCAGACAGGGAGCTGCTTTTTATAAATCTGGATGAGACTAGCGTCGGCCACACCATGACACCGCCTATTGGATGTGTGGCAAAGCCACGGACAGCAGGTGGCAAACAGCCGCATGCACAGGTGCTGAAGCAACATGTTCGAGGTGCGTGGACTTACTTATGTCAGCGTGATTTGCAACTGCAAGCACATCCAAGGGAAGTTGCCTCATTTTTTCATTGGCACCCAGGTGAAACTCACGAAGAAGCTCTTGCGCGCCCAGCGCGCTTTGCCACAAACTCGTTTGCGTGTTTTGCGGCAAAAGTCCGCTTGGACCTCTGCTGCCAACAGTGCCCAAATTCTCAAAGAGATCGCAGAAGTGCTGAAAAGTTTTCCGTCAAAACAAGGCGTTGTACTCCTTGATTGTGCGCCGGCACACCTGCCACGGCAGGTCATGGCAATGGCACGCAAGTGCAAGCTGCAGCTTGTATATATCCCAGCGCAGACAACGGATTACCTACAGCCGCTTGATCTGCAAGGCTTCTCCCCTTTTAAACAATATTTGAAAAGGAAGCACCAGGAGTTGCGCTCATATTCAGAGCACGGTTTAGTGCCTCCTCTGGCCTGGCTATGGCAGTGCATGCAAGCCCCTCACGAATTTTGGGCAGCTCGGCAATGGCAGAAAAGCTTCGATGCAGTGGGCTGCAATGGCCCAGGTCAAGTGCACAAAGCGCTTCAACACTTGATGGGTGCAGGGGTGCCTTGGCCTGGGCCTGACAGGCCGACACCCCAGCAGATGCAGTGCGTTTGGCCAGCGCGACGCCAAATGGCGCACGCGTATAAGGCTCTTTTTCTTTGATGCTGCCGCTCCGGGTGGATCCAAAAGATTTGCAGACGTGGGTGGCACTATAGGACAAAGATTTTTTTTCCATAATACTATGGGGGTACATGGTACGGGAGTCCCTTTGGCATCACTTTTCAAGCCCCCAGTTTTGGGCCCCCACCGGCCATGTTTTGTCACACTATCTTCCAGTTGTGCAGTTTGAGAAAATTGGCATGGAAGCTGTCCAGACGGCATGGCTTCTGCAGCTAGCACGGCTCACAGCTCGTCGCAGAAAACACAATTTGACTATATCTATAGCCATGTCCTCTGCCGCCGCTGGTATGGAAAGGGATGCTGCGGAAGGTGCTGCTGTAGCCCATGTGCCCGGGATGGATGACTGTATAGCTGCTTTGAAAGCTGAAAGGCAGGCCTTGAAACGCCAGCTGCAGCAAACCAGTCGAGAAGTCAAGGCCCAGGCTGGTTCAATTTCATCCTTGTGTGCCATGTTTGTGTTGGTGAAGCTGTATTGACATTCCATCGTGCCACTTGCACCTTCATCTTTCCCATCTCAGGTTTTTTTGGTGAAGCTGCATTGCACCTGCATCGCACCACTTGTACTTTCAATCTTTTTGTTTCAGCTCTGCGCCGGGAGAAAAAACGACGCAGAGTCCTGAAATCGGCGGGCAAACTGAGCACCCAAGACCTCTCGTGGCTCCTGGCCTTCAAAATGACCCGTCAGCAGTAGCAGCTTCTTCAAAACTATATGTCTCACTGAAGCACTTGTGATTGCTGTCTCCCGAGGAGTCAGCAGCAGCTTCCTCAAAACTATATGTCTCACTGAAGCACTTGAGACTGCTGTCTCTAAAGGAGGCAGACAGGAATGTGGTGAAGTCACACGCGGCAGGTTACCTAACGACTGCTGTCTCCCAAGGCATCAAAAACACGTTTTTGCGTGCTTTGGCACCTGTTTTTGCTGTGGCCCAAAAAAACTACTAAGGATACTTCCAACCATTTTCGCAGACTTTGTATTGGCACGGCAGAGTCACAGCTCATGCACGCATGAAAAACTACTAACCCGTGAAATTGAAATCACAATGGCTTGGACGCAAAACTACTAAGGAATTCTGCCAATTGAAAAGAAATAGAAGAAAGTGTTTCCTTTTTTGTCCATTGAACAATTCCTTAGTAGTTTTGCCACCGAGCCAATACAAAGTTTGAAATTCCCCTTAGTAGTTTTCACACAGAAGCATAGTAGTTTTGCGGCAGAGCCAATATAAAGTTGTGACATCGTGCTTAGTAGTTTCACACCGAAGCATGCTAGTGTTGCAGTGGAGCCAATGCAAAGATTGACATCGCCAACGGCCAGTGAAGCATTTCATCTTGCAGCTGTGATGTGCCACCTGCCGTGACGGCACATGTGTTTCTTCCTAATTCAAAGGGCCTTTCCGGCCACATGTTGGCCCCCCCCTGCACCCCCCGGAATCAAGGTTGACGAAAATGTCTTGCTGTGAAGACCTGACGCTTTGGAAGCTGGCTGCTGCAGTGATTAACACCAGGAAACAACATTGATCCTGGGGGTGCGGGGGGGGAGCCGCTGCTGTGACCCTATACGTGGGGCCTCGTGCTGTGTGTGCAAAAGGTCTGAATTTGGGGTCGCTAACGGACGCTGATTTCAGCCCTCTTCATTGAGGGCCCTCCTTGTACTTCGTTGTGATCCCCACCATGACATTTATACATTTTCTTACTGGCAAATCTTCTGGCATTCTATCTGACATATCTTCTGACATTCTATTTGACATTCTATCTGGCATATCTTCTGGCATATGATCTGGCATATCTTCTGGCATTCTATCTGGCAAATCTTCTGGCATTCTATCTGGCATATCTTCTGGCACTCTATCTGACATATCTTCTGGCATTCTATCTGGCATATCTTCTGGCATATATTCTGACATATCTTCTGGCTATCTGACATATCTGGCATATATTCTATCTGGCATATCTTCTGGCATATCTTCTGGCATATCTATCTGGCATATCTGGCTTCTGGCATATTTTCTGGCATTCTATCTGGCAATCTTCTGGCATTCTATCTGGCATTCTATCTGGCATATCTTCTGGCATATTATCTGGCATTCTATCTGGCATATCTTCTGGCATATCTTCTGGCATTTCTTCTGACATTCTTTCTGACATTCTTTCTAACTTTCTTCTGCACATTCTTTGTCCCATATCTTCCTACATGAGGTCCGGCAGGGAACACTTGGCGTGGATACTCGCGGTTGAGGTCCGGCAGGGAACACTGGGCGTGGATGGTCGTGGTTGAGGTCCGGCAGGGAACACTGGGCACTGGGCGAGGATGGTCGTGGTTGAGGTCCGGCAGGGAACATTGGGCGTGGATGGTCGTGGTTGAGGTCCGGCAGGGAACACTGGGCGTGGATGGTCGTGGTTGAGGTCCGGCAGAGAACACTGTGGATCGCGGGTCGCAGTTGAGGACGACGAGGACGACGAGGACGACGAGGAGGACGAGGAGGAGGAGGAGAGGAGGACGAGGCAGGAGGAGGCGGAGGACGAGGAGGAGAAGGAGGAGGAGGAGGAGGACGAGGAGGCAACTGACATAAAATCTAACAACCCTCACCTGGCAGGTGGGGAACAAAGACACAAAGTAACTACCCATCAAAAAAACACAACTCCAGCAGCTAATTTAGGCAAACAGATTCATGTAACAACCGCCTAAGAACCCATTTCCAAACTGCAGCAGGAACCAACCACACAAGTCATCCAAGTACATCCATGATTCGAGGAGCCAGGGACCTCCCCATCATTATCAGCGCATCCAGCCTCTGGGAGCCATGTCAGGTTGCGGCCATCCCCGTGACAGAACTTCCCAGCAGAGTGGCGCTGCGCCCAACGCACAGCAGGTTCCTGGCCCAAAGGGTAACACAAAATGGGCGCCACTGGAGGGAATCAGGCTGAGGCCACCAGGTACTGCAAACATCTGCAAAGTGTAATGTGCTGTATCAGTCTGTATCTTTTGGTTGGATCATATGGGTTCTTAGAAAAAATGTCGGTGCATTCACAGTGGCAGCGACTTATTTTCCAAAAGTAGCTTGGCAGAAGCCACAAGGTTGTCAAAGGACGGAGCATTGGCAATCGCCATGATGCTGCGCAAGGACATCACGGGACATCCTGATGGCTTTTGACTTGGCAAAAGGTGTTGAGCAAAAGCCTTGAACAGTTTTGCCTGCAACTGCAAAGCCCGTACACTCAAATTGCAAACAAAGGGCAGCCCCATTTGTTTTCTGCATTGCCTCGTGCTCATGTATCACCGCCTCTCTTCAAGTCCCTGGCCCGTTGCAATTTTTCAGCAATCAAAGGGTGAGCTCGTTGTATTTTCTCCATGCATCCAGCAGGAAGTACGTCAGCAATAAATCGCCTAGTCTGGTCTTGCAACCAGCGGTACTCCCTATATTCACCAAATTTTGCGGCTGGAAGACGCCCATGTTTCAGCACGAAACTGGTCACCTTCTCAAGCTGCTTGTCCCACTTCTTAAGATTTACAATAACGGGAGCGGCATCCCATTGATCCAGCAAAGCAACAACCAAAGGATGCACTTCCTGCAAGTCCCTTGTCCTACTGGGGGGAAGAGTCCCATGGCGGTTTCGCTGTCGAACGTTATACAGCCACTTAGCCAGCTTATTTCTTTTCAAGTCTATATTGCCCTGAACATTGGAGACATAGGGTAGATGACCGTGTGTTTCGATGTAGATTTTCAATTCTTTGCACTTTTGACGAAACACTGTTTCAGCGTTTTCGCCTGACATCCACTTTGCCAAACGGAAGCCAATCAACTGGGATGATGTTGCAAGCAAACATTCCCATTTTCGGACTTCAAGTTCGCCTCTCTTCCAAAGCCAACCTTGTTTTTTTAACCAGTTGGCCAAGGTGTGTTCATGCGCATTCTTAGAACGTTGAGTTGGTAGCCTGCCCCAACTTTCCACAAACTCCTCCAGTCTCTGCAACCTGAGTTCCCACAGATCTGTCCGATGTAGAACCGCACTAAGTCGCTCATATACTTCATCCTCAAGCATTTGCATTCCGAGTTCGCTGTCTGAACTTCCCCTGCAATCAATCACTTGAATTCTGTGAGCAGCATTTATCCCAACTAGTCGTTGGTCAGCTAGAATCAAAACGGACAAAAACCGCTCCAACTGGCTGCTATATTCCTGGCCAAGTAAGCTAACATGATTTTTGTCACCCTTGATGAGCTTGAATGTCATCTTGGGTGATTGTTTCTTTCTAGTGCGCGTCTCTGTTGAAGGATTGCGCAAATTGACCTGACTGCTATCTGCTTCAGCAAGCTGCAGCTGGTCCAGGGACTCATGCTTGCCTTGGCTAGTGCAGTTCTTGTTCCGAAACTCTTGCTTAGCCTTCGTAAAATTTTCCCACAAACCTGTATTCGGGCTCTGCTGGGTGGAACCACATGCAATCCGCGACTGCGATTGCTTTGGTCGTGCGCTTGGGCTTACATCCTGGACCACACTTGCATGGTGCCGCTGAGTGGAAAGTGAGCCTTGAGATCCGCTCTCAATAATCTTGGCATTTTGAAGATGGCCCCTGCAGCAGTTTTCCTTGTAGTTTGCCACATCGGCTCTATTGGATTGATACCTGCCAGCTCTTCCAAATTCCAGTGCGTGTTGAGCCTGGGCAGGTTTTTTGACAGGTTTTGACCATTCACTAATCTGCGCCTTGTCCCAAGCCCCCTCTCTTTGTAGTGCTAGTCCAGCTTGGCTTTGTTTTACTGCGTTCTTCTTGTTTGCAGTTGGCCTGCTGTCAGCGCCTGGTTCTTGCTCAATGTCCATCACAGGTCTGTGCTGCATCTGATTCAAAGGCCCTGCCAAAGAGGGGGGTTCCCTTAGTGGCTGAGAGACTTGAGAATGCTCTTGTCTAAGTGGAGCATCCCGCTCAACTCCTGCCGACACTGGCATCAACTGACCCGAGCGGGATGGTGGTGTGGCAAATGCCGGCAAAACAATATGAGCAATTGCCTTGCTGGGATGCTGACGAAGAACCCGGCCTATGGCTTGCACAATGCTCCTGTAGCTGTTTCTAGGCTCCACGAACATGCAAGTGTCTGAATTTGGGATGTTGATCCCTTCGCCCAAGACTTCGACAGTGACAAGAACATGTACAGGCTTCCGCAAAACACCTTTTAATTCGTCCATTATTTGTTTTCTCTTCTTCTGAGTGGTGAAAGCATTTATGTGCCATGCAGCGAACCCCAGCTCCTCCAAAACCATTTGAAACTTCTTGGCTTCTGCGACAGAGTTGCAGTAGGCAAGGACCCTTCTGAAACGTCCAGCTTGCTTCAGAAGCAAATCTGCCAAACAAATGTATGCATGGTGTGCAGTGACCGCTGGCACCGTAATATCGTAATCACACAAAATGCCATCCTCAATTGCTTGGCCCATGGAGTAGTTAAATTCAGTATTGTCACCAAGGGTTGCCGAGAATTGAAACATGTTTTCGCATTTTGGCAGCCCAGGTGGAAGTGGATGGTGTGCTTCATCCACCAAAATGGCATCAAAACTCACATTTTGCAGCAAATCCACCGACTTTGTGACGGACATGAAGCCTTTTGCTTCACAATCAATCTTGTTGTTATGACCGGTTCCAACTTTGCAGAAGGCGGGGAAGTCTGGAGCAAACTGGTCCAACAAGGCACGTAGCGGAACCGTGATCAGAACCTGCTGTTGTCATGCTTCCCCTCCTCAAAGTATGTACTTGGTAACATCAGCAGAAAAAAAGAGAAACTGATGATGCAAGTAATTACAAATTAATTTGTATTTACTTGCATCATTAATTTGCAAAACAAGAACCAAGAAACTCTGCCTGCCACCTTGCTGACCAACTCCTTCATCACTCGTGTCTTGCCTGTCCCACAAGCCATCTCTATCTTCCTGGCACCCTTCGCACATGCCTCCAGGCAGTCCTTTTGGCATTGCCTCAGGGGTGGATCAACGGGATCCACAACCGTGTGATCGGCAGAAACCGCTGCAGCGGTGGCCAGCCTGGCGTTGCAAGTCAATGGTGCAGGTCCCTGCGATTACATGCCCTGCCCTACAGGATGGGGCCCCAAGATAGCTAAGTTAAGATATAAGTGGCTTAGCTCTGATATGGTTTATGGATGTTTATGGTAGATGATACAACTATTAATTATAGAATTATAGTGAATGGGTTTTATAAACCAACTTATACCAACTTATATTTGGGGGGCACCCTCCTGTAGGGGATCTAGTGAATCCATGTTAGTGACATTTCCAGACCTGAAACTCTCTCTCTCCCAACGGGCATCTCGTATGGGCTGGTCTGACCTGTAACTGTGAGAATTAATTTTATTATAACAAAATGAAACTGTCCACTCCATCCCCGACGCCTCTGCATCATCTTGGGCGTGATGCTTCTAAAATCAGCAGTTGATCTCAGCAGCCAGGACTTGGACTTCTTGGGCACCAGTCGCAAGCTGCCGGTCACCAGGGTGCAGTTTTTCGCCTTCCAAGGCATTGGAAGGGCAGGACAAGGGGTTCAGGGTGGCAGCAAAGCTGCGGTGCATGGAGGGTCGCCCCTTAAAGAAGAGCTGAGAATAGTCATTGCGCCGCATTTCAATCCACAAACATATGTCCTCAACTTGTGAACCAACAACCTATACTGAGGTGCAATAAAGGACCCAACTCATCGCTTCTAGAGCCTAGAGACTAACTCTTTGGATCACGCCATCGTCCACACTCCGTGCCTTGTAGACCCACAGCGCCATCCGCAGGAAGCGCTTCACCTCCCGATGCGGCAGTGCTGTGTCGGAGCAGCGCACCGCCAGGTGGCCATCCAAGCTGAGCAAATCAACGCCTGCTGCTGGAGATGAGGCGTGTCATCCACTATCAAACCAAAATGAAGACAGTAAAACATCCTTTTGAGAATTTCAAACCTGTTTTTTTGCCAAAGCTGTGGGTTACAAACATTCCAGAGATGGTATACCATTAATTACTATGTCGAATTAAGCTGTGCAGCATGTTGATCAGCCATCAACCAGTGAATTGTCAATTCAGGGTTGACATTTCGAGATCGCCATGGCTGCATTTTCTGCATGGTTCGATATGCCAACTGGGGCCCTGGACTCGACATCCCATCCATGGCCTGGATGTCTTCTGGTGATGTTCTGCCGCTCCAAAAACCATGGAGGCAGCTCCTTTGAAGCGTCAACATGATAGTGGGATTCCAAAATACCATGAAACACATGCTCTCAACCAACACGGTTGGCCTCTGAACCATGTACACCTCCCCAAAACATCCAAAAGCTTGTTGCTGGCGCATCCGAACGGACTGCGTACCATTTAAAAAACAAAGCCACCAGCCCAACCAACTATTTGAACTGAATGCCTACAAAGAAAAAAACGCAAATCCTTCTGGACCCTTCCAATCGAAGTGTCTGACTTTGTGTACAGTAATATCTCCCCAGCTCATCTCAGCTCTTCTTTGACGCACTCACCAGCCACCATCCAACTATGTCATCTCCTGCAGTGGCACCACATCCAGCTGCAGCACCGCTGCCCACATCAGCCGCTGCCTGTCGCTGAGGTGTGGCCACGTCAGCGCCTCCTGTGCCAAGGTCCGTAGGCGAGCCATGAAGGCAGTGTCGCGGGCGTCCGAGCCTTGGATGGTTGTGGTGGTCGTAGATGGTTGGGGGTTGGGGCCATGGGATCTTGATGAAGATGAGTGATTGTTCAAACAGGGTACCCCGATATCCACTGTATATCCACTGTTTAACCCTCATGTTTCCATCTTTTCCCATTAACATGGGTGTATATTTGGGCTAAATCCCCTTCTTTTTGTCTTGACAGATGGCATCCCAGGTCTATGTCTTCCCATCCAATCCTGGTAGCTGCTGCCGGTGGCATTTGGTCCCTCGGATGTGGAACCCAACGTTAGTAGGTTCCTTCCCCGGGATATCTTTGGTCTTGTCTCTGTTAAACTGTTAAACATAATTACTGGATGATTACTGGTGATATTTGTTTGGGGCGCTCATCTCGCTGACTTTCGAAGATGGCATCGCTGTCATTCTGTTGTCATTTGTGGCCTGTTTTTCGAAGATGGCATCCCTGTCATTCTGTTGTCATTTGTGGCCTGTTTCGAAATTTCTCCTGAGACTGGTGGCTTAAGATTGGACCAGAGTCACCAGAGAAGATCAAGACCGCTCTGAATGACCATTATCACCATTTCGCACAAATCCAGGGGTGAACACATATTAGCAGCTGCCAAGTTCACCATACCACCAGTTACCACCATCTTGACTTGCAAAATTATTCAGCTACTTTCCGCTATCATATGTTAGAGGCCTGAAAACAAAGCTCACTGCAATGGGTGCTCCAACTTGCACATGAGTCTGTCCCCGAGTCACCGATGCAGCCTGGAAGCCCGCACCCTTCATGGCCCTCATGGCAGGCATTCTGAGACCACCCGTACTGGTCCTTGCAGCAACAGCAGGTGGGCATGGCCAGTGGGTTCCAAAGGAACCAAACGAAAGAAAGTAGATAGATGGCTTAAGCACTGCCAAAAGTAGACATGCTCCCTAGTTTAGGGAAGTGCCATGAAGATCCATAAAGATCATGAAGCGGCGTGTTGCTTCCAAACCTCAAACATGGGACCTAGACATGCGAAATTGATCGTGGTGAGACCCTTGGGCCACGAGACTCTCTCTCTCTCTCTCTCTCTCTCCCCCTCTCCAAGAGTTCAGCCTGAGGCTAAAGGCGAGCGGTTGGCCGCCCCCCACTCAGGAACAGCACATCAGCAGACAGGCTCAGTGGCCAGCCTCTGGTAACTCCTATCCTTACACAAGTTGCCCCTTTCAGCAAAAGCAGCCCTCATCCAACCAAGGAAGGTCCTGGTCTCTGCATAGGAACCCGAGATAAAAGCTAGCACATGCTGCAGCACAGCAGCTATAGCAGCCACTGCCACCAGAAGAACTGTGCACCGAGCCAGGCGCGGCGACCTTCCAAACGTTGACGCGACCTCTTCCAAGAGCCATGGCCACCGGCCCAGCCGCTGCAGGAAAGGCCTGGCTCTTAGCGGAAGGAAAAGGTCTGAGCCAGGTAAGAGGCAAAGATTTTCGCTGAAGACTTCAGACTGCCAGGAGTAAGGTATGTCGTGGATAATTGGGGTCTGCACAAACCATTAACTGCGTCTATCTAAACTATCAAGAATTTTTAGGTCTAGAAGGAGCCGGAGTGTTGGGGTTCTGAATTCCTGCAATGTTTCGGCCAGCTGTAATGAGCTGTACGTAAGGTTTTGCAGCTGATAGGGGGTCTTTGGAAATGGATTCTAGGGTCCTTGGTGATTTAGTTCTACCTCTGATTGTGTGATATCTGTTTTCCATTATTTATTTCTTTATCTATCTTATCTATCAAGGTAGGTGGCCTTGGTATATACTAGTGAAAATGATCCCAAAGGAAAGATCGTCTTGGGCTAGTGTCCCTTGGATGTTTCAATATTTTTAATTCTTATCCTTCTTTCGGTAATCATGCCAAGATGGGGGTTGAAAATTAGTCTCTCCATCCATTTACCCTTCTATTCGTGGAAGTGCCAGTCAGAACAAACGATCACCATTCGATCGTAGTTCAAATAGTTTTTTTTGGGTTGGGTACTTTGATAAAATATTAAATATATTTTATATATATATATATCAATATATGCAGCAGATAGGGGGTCTTTGGAATTTGATTCTAGGGTCCTTGGTGATTTAGTTCTACCTCTGATTGTGTGATATATGTTTTCCATTATTTATTTCTTTATCTATCTTATCTATCAAGGTAGGTGGCCTTGGTATATACTAGTGAAAATGATCCCAAAGGAAAGATCGTCTTGGGTTAGTGTCCCTTGGATGTTTCAATATTATTAATTCTTATCCTTCTTTCGGTAGTCATGCCAAGATGGGGGTTGATAATTAGTCTCTCCATCCATTTACCCTTCTATTTGTGGAAGTGCCAGTCAGAACAAACGATCACCATTCGATCGTAGTTCAAATAGTTTTTTTTTAATGGGGGGTTGGGTACTTCGATAAAATATAGAATATATTATATCTATGTTGTGCAATTGATCTGGGTTCTCTGGAAATGGATTCTTGGGTCTTTCCAACTATTTAATATATGATAGTGGAATTGAATTGTATTATAGGTACTTTATTATTTTCCCTATGAGGTAACCAATTGGTTGATTAAATGGGTATCATCTTACCATTGGTTATTTAATATAACTATTTGTTTTTTACCATACTCATAGAAAATTTTATGTGCATTATTATGTTCATTCTTAGGCAACCACTTGGTTGGCTAAATTGATATCATCCCAGTAACGGTTAGGGTTATTTTATTTTATTATATTCCTTGGATTAACTGGGGTCCACTACCATTTCTGAAGGGTACCAACCAATTGCTGGATCAAAATGGAAAAGGTATCAACCACGCTCTTGTTTTTTCTAGGGTGGTGCCCCCATATACCTTTGGTATAAAGCCACCAATGTTAATGTTATCCCTGATTATCATTATTTTTTTTCAAGTACTAAATTTCCCCCATTATTTCTACATCTACATCATATATCCTTTAAATGCAATGTCCAACAGCTAATTTGCCGAAGTCAGGGCGCAGAAATCAGCACCCTGAGTTAGGAAAAAAAAAAAATTGACGATATCCTAGGTGTTTGGTGGGGTATTGCCTAAGTAAGGTCGCAAAAATCTGCACCTAGACTTGGGCAATACAGAGGTTGTACCCTGGGATTTAGGATTTTTTTTTTTTTTTGCCGATCTCAGGGTGCAGAAATTGGCATGTGGACTTGGGAAACAGCCCTACTATTATATTCTACCATGATTTTTGCCGCAGAGGATTCGGGGTCCTTGATTTTGAGATTTAGGAAAAAAAAAATGCCGATCTTTTGGCTTGGGGGACCCCGTATCCGTCGCATCCGCACATCCGTCGCATAACAATATTTTATTTTATATTTTATCGAAGTACCAACCCCAAAAAAAAACTATCTGAACTACGATCGAATGGTGATCGTTTGTCCTGACTGGCACTTCCATAAATAGAAGGGTAAATGGATGGAGAGACTAATTATCAACCCCCATCTTGGCATGACTACCGAAAGAAGGATAAGAATTAATAATATTGAAACATCCAAGGGACACTAACCCAAGACGATCTTTCCTTTGGGATCATTTTCACTAGTATATACCAAGGCCACCTACCTTGATAGATAAGATAGATAAAGAAATAAATAATGGAAAACATATATCACACAATCAGAGGTAGAACTAAATCACCAAGGACCCTAGAATCAAATTCCAAAGACCCCCTATCGGCTGCAAAACCTTACGTACCACTTCTAGTTTTTTCACGGACTCCACCATTTTTTGGGGGTCCAAACATGCCCCGCCGAGCAATAATAAAATTACACGACATGGAAGAAGAGTGCTCTCAATTCAGAAAGCGGCAAGTGTCTTCTGGACACAGACGATGATCCTCTATTCCACTTAAAACAACACCATAACCCACAGCTTCCACTGCCATCAGCGACATTTCTTGAAGCAAATGGACTCATACAGGCCGCAACTAGTTCTTATAAGTGCCTACTTTTTGAGCTCCGACCGTGCCCACCACGATGATGATAGCAATTTTGGTAAACACCTAAGAATATATATATATATATATATGATGTTGACCGGGAGATTATTGGTTAGAAATCTTGCCGTGCCTTTTTCGTGAAACCAAGGCATAGTCACAAACAATATAGTCGCAAATCAAGTGTCTTGGCTGAGGTCTGTGGCAACATGAAACTCTGATGCCGCTGCTGCCAATTCAGCAACGTTTGCCTGACGATTTGGTTCGCATGTGCCTAGCAGCAGCTTCAGCTATGAGCGGATGAGCTTCTTGCATCTTCGTAGTGAATTCTGCAGGAAGTTTGCCAGCCGAAAGTCGGTGGAGCTGATCAAGCAGCCAACGATACAATGAGCGATGCTGACATTCAGATGGGAGGCCTCTGTGCTCTAGCACGAATTCTGTCAGCTTCTTGAGCTGTTGCCCCTGATCTGGACGGGCGTGGCATCCCATCGGTCCTCCAACAAAGCTGCAACTAAAGGATGCACTTCTTGCAAGGCCTTCCTCTGATTCGGGGATAACAACCCCTGCTGACTACGTTGTCGATTATTCCCCAGCCACTTAACCATCCTTTGGCTTTCTCTATCTGCCGACCGCGCTGACAAAGCAAGACTGGGAATCTTTTTGTGTTTTTGAATATAGTTCTTTAGTTCTCGGCACCTCTGCTGAAAAATAGTTGTATAGTTTTCACCTGACATCCATCTCGCAACACGTCGTTCGATTGGTGTGGCTGAGGCCGCTTGCAGGCTCTGCATTTGATGCGATTGGAGCTGCCCTTGCCTCACAAGTGTCCCCTGGTTCTTGAACCAATGGCTTAATACCCTTTCTGCTGTGGAGTTTCCATGTGTTCTTGGAAGCCTCCCCCACTCTTCTACAAAGTCTTGCAAACGTCGAAACTTGCGCTCCCACTGGTCCGACTGAGATAAAATTGTAGCTAGATGCTCGTAAGTTCCCTCCACAAGACTGTCTCTTCCGAGCACCCCTTCCAAGTGGATCCTACAATCTACTACTTGGATTCGGTAAGCAGCAATTGTCCCCACTAGCCGGTGGTCAGCCAGCATTAAGGTAAACAGAAACCGCTCCAACTGAGTCGAAAATTCCTGGCCGAAGAACACAGCCGGATTGAACACCTTAGCCACCTGCCTATCTCCCCTTGTGACGTCCGATCTCCTGTCAGCACTGCTGCTGAAATTCAAGCCTAAAGAATCTGCTTCAACAAGCCTTGTGGGCCTTGTTCCAAACTGCACGATTTCCTCCTTTCGCTGGTTGCAAACAGAATTTGGCACAAGGGGTGGGTAGCCACTCGGCCTGACCTGCCCACCTCTGCATATAGCCTGCCCCTGCCCATACACCAGGTCATCAAGCTCTTGGTGTTGAAATGCAGTTGAACTCTGTGGGTTACATTGCGCTTGGCAGGCCTGACCATTTGCAACACTGTTTGCCCCTGAAACTCTTCTCAAGTCACCACAAGGTCTGACTTGCACTTCTTGAGTTTCAAAAGCGGCCGACTTTCTGGGCAAGTGCATGCGTTCACCTATCTTGTGCCCCGGTTGCGCTTTGCCATTTAGGTAAGATTTGGAAGTTTCTGAAGGCTGGTTATGTCCTGGCTTCGCATTGGCCAGTCCACTCTCTGGACGCAATCCTCCGGGTTCAATGTGCAGTACATCCCTGTCCGGAGATTCTTGCGTGCTTGTCATCTGTGCGAGCAGCGATAAGGAATGTGCAGTTGACCTTGAAGAATCTTTCACCAAATGCTGTGCTTTAGGGTCTCGTTGAGCCAGCCTCGACACTGGTGCCGATGCTGACGACGACTGCTCAACCCCCAAGCTTGGCGCTGCAACAGCTGGTAAAACAATGTGAGCAATTGCCTTGCTGGGATGGTGACGAAGCACCCGGCCTATGGCTTGCACAATGCTCCTGTAGCTGTTTCTAGGCTCCACGAACATGCAAGTGTCTGCATTTGGGATGTTGATCCCTTCGCCCAAGACTTCAACGGTGACAAGAACATGAACAGGCTTCCGCAAGACACCTGTGAATTCGTCCATTATCTGTTTCCTCTTCTTCTGAGTGGTAAGGGCATTTATGTGCCATGCAGCGAGCCCCAACTCCTGCAAAACCATTTGGAACTTCTTGGCTTCTGCGACAGAGTTGCAGTAGGCAAGGACCCTTCTGAAACGTCCAGCTTGCTTCAGAAGCAAATCTGCCAAACAAACGTATGCATGGTGTCCAGTTATCGCAGGCACCGTAATATCGTAATCACACAAAATGCCATCTTCAATTGCTTGACCCATGGAGTAGCTAAATTCAGTACTGTCACCAAGGGTTGCCGAGAATTGAAACATGTCTTCGCATTTTGGCAGCCCAGGTGGAAGTGGATGGTGTGCTTCATCCACCAAAATGGCATCAAAACTTACATTCTGAAGCAAATCCACTGACTTTGTGACAGAAATGAAGCCTTTTGCTTCATAGTCAATCTTGTTGTTGTGGCCGGTTCCAACTTTGCAGAAGGCGGGGAAGTCTGGAGCAAACTGGTCCAACAAAGCAACGAGAGGAACCGTGATCAGAACCTGCTGTTGTCATGCTTCCCCTCCTCAAAGTATAATATATATATATATATATAATTTAATATGTATATATACCTGGTAACATCAGGAGAAACAAAGAGAAACTAATGATGCAAGTTCTCTCTCTCCATCGCCATCTCTTGCAAGTTAAGTAAATACAAATTAACAAAACAAGAGCCAAGAAACTCTACCTGACACATTGCCGACCAACTCCTTCATCACTCGCGTCTTGCCTGTCCCACAAGCCATCTCTATCTTCCTGGCACCCTTCGCACATGCCTCCAGGCAGTCCTTTTGGCATTGCCTCAGGGGTGGATCAACGGGATCCACAACCGTGTGATCGGCAGAAACCGCTGCAGCGGTGGCCAGCCTGGCGTTGCAAGTCGATGCTGCAGGCCCCCGCGATTACATGCCCTGCCCTACAGGATGGGGCCCCAAGATAGCTAAGTTAAGATATAAGTGGCTTAGCTATGGTATGGTTTATGGATGTTTATGGTAGATAGAACTATTAATTACAGAATTATAGTGAATGGGTTTTATAAACCAACTTATACCAACTTATATTTGGGGGGCACCATCCTGTAGGGGATCTAGTGAATTCATGTTAGTGATATTTCCAGACCTGAAACTCTCTCTCCCTCTCTCTCCCAATGGGCATCTCGTATAGGCTGGTCTGACCTGTAACTGTTAGAATTAGTTTTACATAACCTGAAACTGTCCAAAATCTCGCAGCTCCATCCCCGATGCCTCTGTATCATCCTGGGCGTGATGCTTCTAAAATCAGCAGTTGATCTCAGCAGCCAGGACTTGGACATCTTGGGCAGCAGTCGCAAGCTGCCGGTCACCAGGGTGCAGTTTTTCGCCTTCCAAGGCATTGGAAGGGCAGGACAAGGGGTTCAGGGTGGCAGCAAAGCTGCGGTGCATGGAGGGTCGCCCCTTAAAGAAGAGCTGAGAATAGTCATTGCACTGCATTTCAATCCACAAACTTGCGTCTTCAACTGCAACTTGTAAACCAACAACTATACTGAGTTGCAAAAAGGACCCAACTCATCGCTTCTAGAGCCTAGAGACCAACTTTTTGGATCACGCCATCGTCCACACTCTGTGCCTTGTAGACCCACCGCGCCATCCGCAGGAAGCGCTTCACCTCCCGATGCGGCAGTGCTGTGTCGGAGCAGCGCACCGCCAGGTGGCCATCCAAGCTGAGCAAATCAACGCCTGCTGCTGGAGATGAATAGACATGGAGCAAGAGGCGTGTCATCCACTATCAAACCAAAATGAAGACAGTAAAACATCCTCAAGCTTTGAGAATTTCAAACCTGTTTTTTTGCCAAAGCTGTGGGTTACAAACATTCCAGAGATGGTATACCATTAATTACTATGTCGAATTAAGCTGTGCAACATGTTGATCAGCCATCAACCAGTGAATTGTCAATTCAGGGTTGACATTTCGAGATCGCCATGGCTGCATTTTCTGCATGGTTCGATATGCCAACTGGGACCCTGGACTCGACATCCCATCCATGGCCTGGATGTTTTCTGGTGATGTTCTGCCGCTCCAAAAACCATGGAGGCAGCTCCTTTGAAGCGTCAACATGATAGTGGGATTCCAAAATACCATGAAACACATGCTCTCAACCAACACGGTTGGCCTCTGAACCATGTACACCTCCCCAAAACATCCAAAAGTTTGCTGCTGGCGCATCCGACCGGACTGGGTACTATTTCAAAACCCCAAAGCCACCAGCCCAACCAACTATCTGAACTGAATGCCTACAAAGAAAAAATGCAAATCCTTCTGGACCCTTCCAATCGAAGTGTCTGACTTTGTGTACAGTAATATCTCCCAGCTCATCCCAGCTCTTCTTTGACGCACTCACCAGCCACCATCCAACTATGTCATCTCCTGCAGCGGCACCACATCCAGCTGCAGCACCGCTGCCCACATCAGCCGCTGCCCGTCGCTGAGGTGTGGCCACGTCAGCGCCTGCTGCGCCAAGGTCCGTAGGCGAGCCATGAAGGCAGTGTCGCGGGCATCTAAGCCTTGGATGGTTGTGGTGGTGGGGGTTGGGGCGGTGAGGCTTGGGGAAGCAGGACTCAGGAAACATGACTTAAATAAATATACTGAACATGATTAGTAAATATACTGAAAATATCTGAGAATTGAGAATGATCAAACCTAGAAGTAAAGCTGTGTTTTTGAATATGAGAACCGCATTCACTTCGGAATCATCTCCGACCAAGTGGGTCGATTCATCTCCAACCAAGATTGGGGCAACTTTGGAGCATTTACTGATGATCTGCTTTAAAGTCAGCTCAACAATACTAGTCAATTGATTGCAGCCCATTTACTTAAATGCTCACTGCAATGTTTGCCCAAACTTGCAAATGCGTCTGTCCCTGTCCCCTTGCTGCCCCAAGGCGTAAATGCAGCCTGGAAGCCTGCGTGCTTCATGGCTCTCATGGCAGGCATTCTGAGACCGCTAGTGCTGGTCCTGGCGAAAAGAAAGGTGCACATGGCCACAGGGTTCCAACGCAACCAAACCACTGGAAGTAGATAGATAGCTCAATAATTACCAGCAAATAGACATACCGGTGCTTGAGGAATCATCTTCCTTCCCTTACCTCACCGCTTTTGAGCTGCATAAATGGATTCATTCATGTCTATATAATTCTTGTGAATAGAATCGGCAAAAATGAAAGCCCAACCAAGCTAATCAAGGTCCTGGTCACGGCACAGGAACCCGATACAAACGCCAGTACATGCTGCAGCGCAGCTGCTATCAGAGCCATCGCCGCCAGGAGAACTGTGCACCGAGCCAGGCGAGGCGAGCTTCGAAACGAGCCTCCATTGATATGAACTCTTCGAAGAGCCATCACCAGCCAGGCTCCATCAGAGGCTTATGTCAAGAAAGGGTTTGAGCCAATGCCCCTAGGAATTGGCCTTTGCCCATATATTTATCATATTTCATCCATTTGTTCGGATTTGGGGTTCAGGGCGGATTGCATTGACACATTGGCTACTTGAATGGGCATGTGGGTTGAATAACCCCTTCCATCTGCCTATGGCATATGGATGCACAATAAAACCTGATTTCACCAGTGAGACTGCTGCCAATTTGTGGTCCATAGCCCCACATAGAAAGTGACCTACTACTTATCCATATCCCCCAAGCCCAATCCAATACTAGAATGCAGTTTCTGGTTTGTTGTGGAGATCTCAGATCTTAGGACAAACCCCAGTACTGTCCACCTCCCCACCTGGATCTCAACCCCAATGCCATCCACATCGAAGAGCATCTTGGCCCACGAAAGCCTCAGGCCCATCAGCACTGGAATGCTGAATGAGACAGTAGCTGAAACTTAGGTCTATGAAACATGAAATGTATGGCAAAGTCTTGAGGAAAAGATTAAAGCCACTGTGGGTCAAAAAACACCTCTCAGCTAATCAGTATTCCCTTGCAAGGTCGTGAACTTCCGCCTTTTTCCATCGTTTCTAGCGCTATGGCATTCAGCCATTCCAAGTAACATCAAGACAAGATCTCGAAACACTTCCAGGCAGACCTCTAGGCTCTAGGCACGTCCCACCACAGCTTCACCCTTTACCTACCAAGCCAAGCAGCTTATGGCCGCAACCTGATCCCCAGTCCAAGACCAGTTCTCCGGGGCGAAAGCGGAGCCAATGACCCACGCTGATCAGCACCTGCAACTGATCTCGGCAATGCGGAGGATTCATATGGGATTCATCAAGAAGCCCTGGGTTGAGAAAAGAAACCAGAGAGTTTGCAATTTTTCAAGCCACAATTTTTGATACATAGTAGGTTGTTTCAGATATGACCCCAGAGAGGAAAACACAAACCGCAAAAATGATGTTCCCATCTTCCACTCATCCAGTCGTTGCTTCCAAGGCCGAGGAACACATTTGTGAACATCGCTCATTGCTTGGTGCCACATGCCTCTTGAGTCTTGGCATTGCAACCTCATCTACTGCCAGCCAAGGAGGGGCCCCGAAAAAAAAAAAACATGTGGCGGCTGGTGGTGTCACCAAATGCCATTCACTAAGTCAGTATAGATCATAATCCCAGGATATCCCATGTATGCATTAGAAACACTCGAATAACATATGTCATGTTAAAAAAAACATGTCTGAAACCACCGGGCATCAATACCTTCTCCCAAACCACCTTTCCTCCATCACTGTGAGTCCACACGTCTCGCAGGTGAGGAATATCATAATATATAGTGCACACCCAAAAAGTTGGGTGGTTTCAGACTCCTCCAGCTTGGATTTCGCACCCAATTTGACCCTGTCAGGCCCTGTAGAGTCCCAGGGACGAGTTGGCACGGTCCTCGTACTTTCGGATCTTTTTGCCCAGTTGTTCCTCCACTTGCCTCAGCTCTTGGCCATCCAAAACGTGGCCTGAAAAGGTGAGTTTTCGGAGGTTCCACCAGCAATCGACCACCACCAAATATAGCTACCAGTGCACCAAAAAAGGTTGATGACCTCTAGGACTCCTAGGGAAATCAAGGACTTGGAACTTGGGATTGTAAATACCTCATTGTGCAGCTCAGGTGCAACTGATCGACCATGGGGCACTGAATGCTGTCCTCAACATGGTGGCTGTAGGTCGAGGCTTTGGGTACGGTATATGACTCCGACCACGAAACAGCAATGTAACAGGAACACCAAGTCTCTGTGCTTCAGAAGACCTGCAGTTTCCATCACCTTCGCCCTTCACAACATCCTGATCCCCTGCAGGATGGGTTGGGCGTTGTTGGCCAAGAGTCGAAAGCCTTTTGCGTCTCTTCCAAGCGCTTTGCAACAGCGGCCTTGATTCAAGCAGCAAGCTACACACTGATCCGGCTCAAGGTCTGGCTTGAACATTCTGAAAAATGTGAAACACATTCTTGAATCTTAAACTATCTGTAGTCAATGAAGTACGCCTCTACATGTGACCTATGCATACCTATTCTGGCTCAAAATATCGAAAGTCCCCCCCCAAAAAAAAACATACCCCAACCAAACTCCATCATCAACGCAACCTCATCCCTCCCCTCCAGCCAACCAACTTCAAACATCAGCACTCAAAAAAATAATCTCAACTGATCTTAACTGGCTTCACTCAATTCCCCCAAACACTTGGAAGTCAAGGAATGAGCTTCACCCCAACCCATCCACACACCCATCCCCAACCCCATCCCCCACACCCCATCTGCGTCCCTTCCAAGGCGCGTTCTTCCGGAAGGACCTGCAGCGCCTCACAAGCTGGTCATCCGTAAAGACCAGGCCACACAGGCCCGAGTCTTCCGCGTGGACCCGCGGTACATACCTGCCATGACTGGTGGGTGGGGAGTGGATGGTGGGACCACAGATTGGAGTGGAACAAATGGAGTGTTGAGCTACACTTGTATTGCCTCTATGTGTGTTTTTCTTCTTCCGGCCGTGCTCCAATGATTTCTTGACCTTGATTATAACTGAGATTGTGGGACATGTGTTTTTTTCCAACTTGAAACTTGGACTTTTTGAATGCAAATCATGGCACGACAGAATGACACTTAGGGCTTTAGATGATTTATTTATCAAAATACATGTGCACAATCTTGGGCAATGATCAGTTTAGTGAAAACTTGATGGTGCGGACTGCCAGCTTCTCAAAAAGTGGCCCCGCCTGTTGTAGATTCTGTGTGAGTTGTGCTGCTCCGGATTGCCTGCAGTCAAATGCATATCTTTGAAGGCCTAAAGGTGTTGGTTGATGAACAACATGCGGTGAATGGCCAAGGCGGATGGGAACCAGAACATCCCCGCATGGTAGAAAACTGTTGATACGATGTTGCTGCCGCCCTTGAAAATCCCCATTCTGCAGATAGAAAAATGGAGCCGCAAAGCTTCGTTCTTTCAAGCCCAACTGGGACTGGGCCCAAAACCCAGTGCCTATAGCAGATCTGCCAAGGTACACATCAAAAGTCCCAAGGACACCATGTTGGCATAGCGACTATACTGCGATGTGAAAAACGGGAAGGGCGCTAAAGAGGCAACTTTGCCTGGCGATTCACCGCTGAAGTCTGATGGGCATTCTTCATGTTCAAATGTGGGATGCATTGAACTCATTCGCCCTGGCCGCGCCTAGTAGCTCTAACACTTCCGGCACAGGCTCGTTCACCAGGAAATACCTGGACTGCAGAGTTGGGCCCATTTTCAACTGCGAACCTTGGAATTCAACCTCCCCCACATGGAGGTTTTCATGTGAAAATTATAAAATGTTGACTTGTCCAGCAAGCCACGTTTGATGAAACCGGAGACTAAACCAAACAAGGACCCCCCAAAAAAAAAACAGTTTTATCCTCCCACCATCCATCTATCCATCCATCCACCCTGCCGCGCACTGCGCGATGATGATCATGGCACTCAGCAGCCCCGGGGCGCAGCGAAAGCTCTGCACGACCTCGTCCGCGCTGCTGGTGATCTCCTGGGCCAACTTGAAGGCCGTGTCCTCGCCGGTGGGTGGGTTGGGGGAATCAAAAAGGGAGGAAAATCACCAACAAAACTGGGGGATTTGTGATTTTCTGGATTTTATCCACTATAAAAAGCTGATCTAAGGGCAAAACGTGAGATTTTTGGGAAGGAAAAATGGGTTGCGAAGAGTCCATCATGTAATGAACATGTTGGTTGTCACATTCACTGAATCCAATGGGTTGATTCCGAACTCCGTGTTGCTTTCACCCCTCCCAAAGAACAATTAAGTGATTAGGGATCATCATCAAAGGATCCTCCAACTTCGCCCCGTAAGGGTGGAAAATTAAGTTTACAAATTGGAGCCATCCATGCAAATAAAATATGTTATCTTGATCTCTCACGGGGCTGCATATGTGATGCCCTGCATGATTATATAAAGATTCATTGGTTGCACCCATGTGGGCTCATGTTTTTGAATCCCGGCTAATCAATTCTCCAATGCTGAGTGCTCATCACTGGCATTCTCCTGGAAATCCAATTGGCAGGGCTCGTCAGGAACACAGTTTCGACAGGCATCGATGAGAAAGGCCTGGCTGCACGGAGTTGGCGTCCAGGCTGAGGGTAGTCGAATGCCAAGTAGCATAATCCATCGAATGCGGGTCTTGATGATGTAGAATTCGTACACCATCACCACATATCACCATGATACACGATGATGCACCATGATACAACCTAAACCATATGCAACCATACTGCATGACTCCATCTAATTACCACATACAGGGTCTTGAGATGTCTTTGAGGATATCCTATGATAAACCATTGATGGTCCATGATGGTTATACCCTCTGATAAACTAACATAACTATGGAACATCACCATTTTTAATGGGAAAACTCACTATAAATGGCCATTTTCAATAGCAAACTGTTACAGTTTACCAGAGGGTACATGTTTAACAGCCCGTTTTGGCGAAAATCGAGTTTGTACATATCCCCCATGCAATTATCATATACCCTGATGGATCTGTCCAAAGCGTCAGTTAGTTGACCAGGTCGGGTACCACTTGATCCACAGCCATAGGTCATCCCTTGATCCAGGGCGGCACCTCCCAGGAGATACCGTGCTCCTCCGGAGGACATCCCACCACACTGAGCCACTCGGCATCGCAGAAGGGGACATCCACCGCGGCCACCTGCCACGGTCATCGGGGAAACTAGGGGACAAACCATGACCCAAAAAAAATGGTGCAGTAGGGTAGTGGATATGATTTTTTTTATGAATATCACATTAATATATTTATGATCTATATGACTTATATATTTGTTTTTTATGATGTTTAAATGGATTTATGATGTCTGATTGTGATGATGATGCTACATTACCCATCCAAAAAGCGGTGGGTCATTGAAGAAAAATGCAGATTTCATCAGCTCCAATGCCTGGAAGTGGAGTACCCACCACCAGTGGTATCGCCATGGCACAGCCATGGGCCCATGGTCCCACCCAAGATTGTGCGTAACGAATGATGGTTGGGAATGCTGGGATACAGTTGTGGTTCTATAACATAAGTCCTAAGTCCTATAGATCTCTATAGATCTATAGATCCTATAGTTTGTGGTTGCTCCGTTTGGCTCCTTCAGTCGCGTTTTCGCATTTCGGGCTTTCGCTGTTCATTGGAAAAAAACATGCGACTTCCATTTGCGTCAACAGCCTCTGCGGGAGACAAGCCCACATTTTCCAGGTGAAACGCCATGGGGGCAAAGAGTTGTTTGGGTTGCAACGGATGACTGGTGTGGCGACGTGATGGTTCACTTTGCTATCACACAGCTGAAGCCCAGGGATCCGAGTGTGGCCACTGCTTCAACACGGTGCTTACCGAAATCACTAGCTTCAGCAAAAGCAAGTAATGTGGAAAACCCAACAATAAGAACCTATTTGGCATGACAAAGAATAAATCCCACATGGTTAGTTATATAATGGGATTGCTTGTTATACCACATGATGTAAAAGTGTGATTGAATCTCTTCCAAATCATGTCCGTCACCGCAAGATGGTGGTTCTCTGTCAGCGAGGGTTCGTCAAAGTTGCTCCTCTTGAAGCAGCAAATGGCCCAGAGCTGAACCTCCTGATTGCAATTCAACGTTACTAATCCCTTCCCCCCAATATTAAAATAACCCCCTGGACAGGTTAGTGTTGGATCTATTCACTTTGGTGATGGTCAAATCCCAAAAAGTCCTTGGAAAATCCCAAAATCTGATGGTAAAATCAAAAAAAATCCTTGTAAAATCCCAAAATTTGATGGTAAAATCCCAATATTAGTTGGATTAATTCCGTTCCTCCTGCAGCACCCTGCTGCCTCCATCTCCTTGACCGACTCCGTTGTGACATCGCCTCAGAAAGTGGGAGGCTGCAGCGGCTGCAGGGTGATGCCACCCAGGAATGCCCACGGGCAACCAATCAATTAGGACTGCCAAACACTAATATGCTGGGAAAGATGAGCCGGTTGGGTATGTTATCTATTATCACTTACCTATTGGCTGGTTAATATATGTTAATATTGTTGGGGATGACCTCTCTCAATTTATAAACGAACCAATGGGATAAGGACATCTATGCTGTCAAATATGGGAATTATCCACTGGGGTATGAATAAACTCATCTACATCTGCCAGCTATAGTGCTAATGAATTCAAGTACATTTCAAGTGATTCTGTATGAGGCCCCCGTGGTTCTGCATAACAGAGAAGACTGCCAATGGTCCCAATGAATCTTATCTGCTACAGACGCCTTCGACGGAGCCAAATCATGCCCAATGCACATAGTCATGGGCCCTGAACCCGTCGAAATTACAAATGTTTCCAGAAAGTTCACGTAAATTCGATTTATTTCACATGATTTCCGGCTCTTCAACCTTTCTTAATTGGAGGAGGAGAAAAAAAACAACCAAAAATACAGCATCCACCACCCAAAATCCATCGCAACGAGTTGCAGGACTCTTCTTGTGCCAAGCCCTGGAAGGGGATCCAATATTGCATGGGCAAGTGGGATATGGTGGGATAGTGGCTGGGGGATACACCAGTGAAAGCAAGACTTTCACTCAAGGCCTCCAAATCTTTGTATAGTTGTGGGATGTTGTGGGTTCACATTTCAGTGCACTTACTGTACAAGCACTTTTGAACTTTCCAACGCAGTGATGTGACCTGGTGCGACGACAAGGTCCTGCTGGCAGAAATTCCACCAATATACTGTGAACGTTTCCACTGCGCTACAAGTTTTAAAAAACATGGGCCGTGAGACTGTTTCACTCTTGAATTCAAACTTTCATGGGCCATTGACACGTTGACCATGCTCACAAACCAAAAAACATATTTGGATGGGGAGCAACTCTTACCCATACATCCCATACCCATTATGTTTCCAAACCTGACTTCTGCTAATCCGCCTCTGTGGCCAGTGGCGGCCCGCAGCGCTGCAGTTGGAGCTTCGCGGTGTCGTGGTGGAAATCCACTGCGGTGCCTTGAATCATGGACGTACCACGTAAGGCCCCCGAAAAAGATGGAAAAGTTGACGTCATCTTGGTATGGGTTGGAGACGATTTGGATGTTTCACTGTACTGGATCTTTTTGGGGTCCCCTGTAGGAAATATAGTTTTTGGGCACGGTCTTTGTATGTCTTCATCGGACGGCACCTGAGCCCTGTAAACAAAGAGAAACTTGGACAAAATACTTTATTGATCAAACACGTTGTCATTCCTTTACACTTTTGCAATTAAACATCTTCAATGGCAAGAATGTTTTAGTTGTGCACGCATGTCACCGTCGTCTTTGCCTACTAAGGCCAATTGAAGCTTCTTACCATGCTGAATGGTGCAGTGGAATCAAAGAACTTTTCTCATCACTTGTGGTGCACACTCCACTCCTCCGAACCCATAATTTGAGCACAATAAGACATGCAAAGCAAGTTCATCCCTACTAGCCACTGAATACCTGATTTCATGCCTGACTTTCAATCAGGGATGATTCCTCAAGTCGGCAATTGGCAAAGACTAACGAGACATACGCTGAGTTATTAGCACATGAGATCCAGCATATCTATGTACAAATTCAACCCAGTTATGCTACAACATATTGCATTATTCTACAACATATTGCATTATTCTACAACATATTGCGTTATTCTACAACATATTGCATTATTCTACAACATAGTACTTCATGACTTGTGGAAGCTCCCCCCACTAACAACGGTTTCTTCATCTATATCTATAGGGTTTCACCTTCATACATACACCCCCTGGCAAAACGTGGCATAACATGGAAAAGTCGCCATTCAGTTCAATGATGTTCCCATTAAACATCTTAAACCCTCCAATCGATAGAGAATTTCCCAGCCGAACACCATGGCATACCATGGCCATCCCCAGCAAGATGCACTCAGTGGAGAACTGCACCTCGACGTCCGGATATTTCTCTCGAAGCTCCTCCACTCTTCGGCGGGCGATGTGCAGATGGTACATCCAGATTTCTGGCACAAGATCCCTGGGATGGTCAACCGAATGAAAAAAAACATAGCTCATCATGGCTGATCTTAATTAATATACAAAAATATACAAAAATCAGAATAGTTTATGGATCTGAGCATTGGTCAGAATGCCAAATGCTGCCCCTTTCTGCTGGATTTTATCTGGTGGAATACTCCCTGAAGCTCCCTGAAGTTCCAGTAACATCACCATGTTTCATAATCAACTTGAGCCACTGCTGAAGATCCAAAACATATATAGTCTATATAGTGTTGAAAACCCCTGCTGTGCAGGAGAAAAAGAAGCATCGCAAAAAACACCAATTGTTTTGGACAAGTCAGCTACCAAACCACAGGAGTCCTGATAGAGACAGCTCGACAACCTGTCTCTGGCAATCACTTTGGTCATGAAGCGGCGGTTGTTCATAGTGATCTGAGCCAGTCAAATGGTTCAAAGGGTTGCGACATCAATGGGCAGCATAAAAAGATCAAACATCTGGTCATTCTTGGGTGTTCTGAGTGGAATGCACAGGAAAAAATATACCAACCCTTAGCCACAACTATATCATAGTAAGACATCACTCACATCTGCCACACAAAAACCACAATGCCGTGCTCCCCCAGTTGTCATGTCGCCCCTGTAAAGCCACTAGTGCGCATCCATCCATACTCGTCGAACAAATGCCATTTGGGTGGTATTTTACCTATAAAACCTTCCCATTCTCAGCTGCACCAACACATCCCATTACTAAATCCACTATAAATCCCATATATCCCATATATATATATCCGCATCAACAATGGTTGGTTAATTCCCCCATATGAACTATCCCCACTTGCAACTGGTTAGTAACTGGGCGTTAGTTCAGCCACTTACATGTATGAGATAACCCCAGAAATCCAGGGCTATTAACCCAGTTACGATTCATGGGATGATCCTCCAAATAGTTGCTTGATTAAAACAATGTCCTTTTATCATTTGGAGGATCATTTGTGAATTATGTCGCATTTAATTTAATATTTGTCCGGGTATTTATGAGATGATCCTCCACTGTATACATAAAACATCATAAAACAATGTCCTGTATCAGTTATGGTGATTTATGTGATCATTTGGGTGGCATTTGCCTAACTTTTCCCTATCAATCACCGTATTCTTTGTTGGTTACATCAACCAAGGTTGGTCTGAATTCTAATCCACTAACCTGACAATAGCTCTTATCATCTGGCCATTTTGGGATAGTTATACCTCTTACTACCTCTGGAAAAATTTTCATAGCTATGGAAAATCACTGTTTTCAATAGCTAAATCAACTCTAAAACTTCAATTTCCCTTCAGCTAAGTGTTAAATTACCAGAGGGTAACCAATGGTATCCAATGGTTATATCTCCAATTTCATGTCAATGGAATTTTCAGGAACCTAAAATGGAGGTACTGTACCATATAAGGCAATATTTTGTGGGGATATTCCCTTACATAGCCCTCAAAAATAGGCCTTATGGTAGGTACCTCCAATTTAGGTTCCTGGAATGGCCATTGATCATGGGTAAATCACCATTTCTAATGGGTAAATAGCGGTCCTCCATCCCATCCCAGGCCGCACCTTGGGTTCGCCCTCGCTGGACCAATCCTTGCGTCCCACCACGGTGCGGCTGAAGCGCTCCACCACCTCCATGGCGCCGAAGCGCAGCAACGCACGCTGACCGCGACCTGGTGGCTATGGGAATCATCTTGGATTTATGTGGGATTTTGAGAGGGATTTATTGGATTCATATGGAATTTATAGGATTTATGTGGGATTTAAATAGGGATTTTAATAGGGATTTTGAGAGGGATTTATAGGATTTATGTGGGATTTATATAGGATTTATGTGGGATTTAAATAGGGATTTTAATAGGGATTTTGAGAGGGATTTATAGGATTTATGTGGGATTTATATAGGATTTATGTGGGATTTATGTGGGATTTATTATCCATACATGGAATCATCTTGGATTTATGGATCATGGATTTGTTGTTGGGATTTCACTCACTCTCTCTCCATCATGCATATATTGATGTGTAGAACACATACTTGTTTAACAAAAATGATCAACATCTTCGTCAAATTATGGGTATACCATTGGATTTCTTCCGAATTTCCCGGAACTTTTTTTCCCTTCCGTGTCACCTCCGAGGCCCAGGTTGTAGGAGCGATCAGGATCGCCCCAAACTTCTTCCTCCGGCCCAGGGGGTTGAGGCAGGCGATCCAGCACACGCACCTGGGACGTTTCCCTCAAGGTCTTATGGTTACTCGGGAACTGTACGGGGTGGGCGAGAAAAAAAAGTTGGGGTGGTCAATGGTGGGGTCATTCGCTATAATTACTATACATAGATAATGAAATATATTAAATCGAAATGATTGTTTGTTTGGGGTCACCGTGGTCTATTCTGCAAAAGCCTAGATTAAGGAAGAAAACAAGGCAGAAATCAACTAGAATTTGGTTCTGCATTGCATTCAGCTTTGCATCCTTACACTATTTATCCCAGTTCACCGTGGGCAACTTGAAAAGGCACCACAAGTAGGATCGGACAAAACACAATATGTCTTCATCACCCCCATCGTGAAGTATCTGTTAACCAGTCGATCCCAGTCGATGCCACCAAAACTGCAACTTCCCCCAAGGCCAATGTAGCAAAAAAGTGATTCACAAACATCGATAAGCTATCGTAAACTATCAATAAACTATACCAACCATGTGACCATGTGCATCCATTTGCCAACCATTTGCCAACCATTTGCCAACCATTTGCCAAGGTGTTCCCCCTAGGATCTGCCCTGACCACCTCGCCTTGCGATAGCCGCGCCGGGCCAGCGCCAGAGCCGTCAGCAAACCCACAGGGCCCGCACCCACCACGGCCACGGAGATGTCCTAAGGCCCGAGGAGGGAAGATCAACCATGAAAAGCGGTGGATTAACCATCAACATTCACTATCATTGGATTCACTATCATTAAATAGTTGCAAAATGGTTGGAAAATGATGGTGTGTGTGTGTATTTAATGATAGTGGTTGCAAAATGGTTGGATTCACTATCATTAAATACACACCATCAACTATCATCAAGATCACAAGAATGCAAGCATGGTGGTTGCAAAATGGTTGGATTCACTATTATTCAACACACACACATATTATATATTTATACATATATATATATATAAACCAGGATTAGATTGGATGTATCATGATTTAATGGGATGTTTGTCGGATTTAATAGGACTGCATGATTTGATGGGGAGTATCAATGGATTGATTTAAGGGAAAATCTGAACACCCCAAGCCTCTGATTAGATGGACCATGGGACCCATGGGATTGGCCCAGTGGTTCGTAACTGGGTTAAGAAATACCTTAAATACCACAATCCCAATTACTCCAATCATGTACAAAGTATAGTTAACTAATTATCTAATTACCAGCTAATTAGTTAACTAACTCCATGGCCCATCAAAGTGCAACTTGGACCCCAAGCGTCATGTCTTCCGTGGTCGGCCCCATCCGCCCGCGGCACGCGCGCAGCGCGCGGGGCAGGGAAAAGCGGGCGCTCTGGGCGCCTTCCGAAGCCCACGGGGATGGCTGGCTGCTGCGGGCCACAGGGAGCCAAGGCCATGGTGAAGCTGTTCGGGGTAAGAAATTGCGAGAAGGAATATCTTGAAATCTCTTGAATATCTTGAAGAATATGCTTAAGTATAGGCTTAGCTATAGGGAGGTTGTTGTTTTTTTCACGGGTTGAAGCAAGCATGTTCATGCAGTGGTGACCCTGTCAAAGGAACATCACCTGATAGCCGGTGAAACATGCTGGATTGAAGTTGATGGCCCCATGGAAGGTGTGGTTTTGTGTTTAGCGAGTAGGTCAGGCCATCCTTTAAATATCTTGGTGAAGGATGATGCAAAGAATCGGTTCGATCCGGCTTATTCATGATGCGTTCAAGTTGAATCCTGCATCACAGAAACAGAATATGGGACCAATGCCTAACTGCAAAATGGATGATGTGAGGAACCTGAATGAGCTGATCAATTGGATTTTCATATATTCAAAATTGACTGCGAGCCAAAAACAGCGACAGTGCGGTGCTTCCATGGCTATAATATACGAGTGGTTACACCTTTTCAAGGAGGTTTGCATTATTCAGGTGCTTCAGGGCCCGAACGATAGCGAATTTGAATCATGTCATAATGTGGTTTGGATTTTTTTTCTGGGATATAACTATGGCTGATGGGTTTATAAGCTATATTGAGCTGGGGTTCCTCACCTTGTATACATTAGTTCCATGACATTCTTTTCTCTCTCTCTCTCTCTATCTCCAACTTGCTGCCTGGCAGCGATTGATCTTCACCTTCTGCAGTCAAGCCTACTCTATGACCTGCGGACAGTCAGTTGGTGAAAGAATGTGAAAGGCACAGTGCACCCATGGAATCCAGCATGGAAACCCACAACATATCCAAACCTGTTGTGACATAAACATTACAAACAAAATGGTTCTGGAAGATTTGGAAGATAGTCCTTGCAGAAAGGTTGCAATTTTCTTCATGCCATGCTCTTTATTGGGTTTCAAAAAGCTAATGCTCAACCCTTTGAGGTTCATCATGGTTCATCGCCCGTCATGCTGAGCCCACTTCTGCCTCAGGCAAGTTGATGGCCGTGGCCCAACCGTCGACAAAGCTCTACCTGGGAGGTTATGGGAGCCATCCCAGCTGTTCTGGTTGGTGGTTGACCTACCCCTCTGAAAAATATGAAAGTCAGTTGGGATGATTATTCCCAAAAAATGGGAAAAAATGTTCCAAACCACCAATGTTGCAATGCCAGCCCCAATGTCTGGAAAAACAGAAAGAGATTCTAGCATGGAATCTGAAGAAATCTGCGCCTGGATGGTTTCAAGTGACTGAGATGTTTGAGCACCTGGACTCCCAAAGGCATCACATGACATCCCTGTGGCAAGCAGCTTGCCTCCCTATACCCTCTCATTTGTGATGGAAACAGGTCCCAGGTGAAAGCCTAGATCTTGGACATATATAATTACATAAAGAATATTGAATAATTAATAATGAAACAGTTGTATACCTTTAATTATTTCAATCACACCCTGGGTAGTAACCACTTGGTTGAACCCGTTTCCTGGATCATCCAGTTGCGTTTGCGCAACCTCTTTTTCTCACTGCGACGACCCGCGGCCCGTGCCATCTGAAATCTGCACGACATGTTCGTGTCGCCTAGCGTCCTACCGTGGTATTGGTGGCATCTCATACTTCCAGAGTCGTGCCAGGTTGGATTTTGCTCACGATTTCTGCGGAAGAGCTAAGTTTTTTATGTGTAGACTTAGCTAAGAAAGGCACATCTGCCTGCCATTGCCTAAATTTGTTGGTGGTAGCTAACACCAGGCCATGATATCTGTGCAAAATAAAGTCATGACAAGTTCTGAGACCTTGCTACTATAGCTACGTACCACAAATTAACGTGCATACTGTATATCGTGCATATGATTGACATAGTGCCATGAAATTAGTAAATGATACCATAATTCATTGGGTAGTTAAATCATGTTAAATCCAACTTATCCAACGATTTTCAAGCATAACTATTGCATACAATCACTTCGAGAATCCCTTCAAATCATCTTCATCAATCGAAACATCAATCTTCATCCAAAAATCCATCCTTAAATATTCTAAATCCAACCTGCCATTCTGCATTCACCCCTTCCGGCAGTTTCCCACCAGCCATTCCATGCCTTCCTGTAGACCTTCGCCCGTCTTCGCGCTACAGGCCTGGATCTGCCATACGCGATCCCCGATGAAGTCCAGTTCCAGGGCCGCCGAAACGTCCTCCGCGCCCGCGGCGCTCATCAGGTCCTGAGCGACCCAAGGAGATCAGAAAACAAAACCACCAAAAAAAAGGGAACAGTGAAACATATCCTACTGAAATGGCGATGCTTATACAACATATCTATAACTTGATCATACTTGATCTATCTTTTTGGGAAGCTCCAAGAGAAGTAGGAGTTATAGTATCAGCAAAAATGAGAAGATTTAACTGAGAAGAATTGGGATTTATATAATAATTATATAATATATATATATTATATGGATTTATCATGATTTACTTTTTGGCTGCTGCATGCTACTGCTAAACTTTCCCAATGACTTTCGTGACTGATCTATCAGTCTACATGAGTGCGTCTCCTTGCCCTTTGTTGCCATGTTTGCTGCCCGGAAACAAACAGAAACAAAAAACAACAATGCAAAATGCTGGATGGACAATATGTGAACATATAATATCATATAATGTGTTGAAGCAATCATGGGGAAAATGATGATCACCATTAATCAAATGAATCAACAAAACATGGCTTCATATGGTTTCCAAATCCAGCACGAGAGTCTTGTTTGTTGGCAAAGACCTGAGCTGCAGTTTGGCGTGCCAAGTGGAAATTCATTTCGGTGTGACCACATGTGCCCCCAACCGCAAACTGCAAGAAAACATGACGTAAATGGAACATGTAAGGAAAAGTTTATTGAAATATGGAACATATTTTGTATTGCACATAAAATTTAAAATCAACTGAGAACAATGTAAGGACATTTTTTTTATTGCTACAAATAACAAATGGTCTGCCCATGTATGCACAAAAGGTTCTCTTCCATCTACCCAGAAAGTCTCCACCAATTGGTGGCCCAGTGACATGAGTACGAGTACTGAGCAGATCCCCAATCTCCGTCATTCTCCATCTTCAATATGCAAATCCATGCATCACTGTGCGACCACACAATTTCCTAGAAAAAGCTCATAGATTCACAAATGTCCACCTAAGTATGTCCATATATTTCCATAGATTTCCATTAATATTTCCCTCCCCTACCACCAACCCTACCCAACCCCAAGCACCATCAACCACCATCCTCCCAGCCATGGCACCAGCGTGGGAATTCCCGCCAACTTCTCCTCCGCCAGCAGTTGCTTCAGCTCCCGCGAGCTCTCCTCCAGGCGTCGCGTGTCCGAGGAGTCCACCACGTAGACCAGGCCCTGCCATTTCAAGCGTCCAGGTACCCTCTGGTAATTTAACGTAGCTATTGAAAATGGTGATTTAATGGTGATTTAATGGTGATTTTCATGGTTTAACAATGGGTTAACATTGGCGAATAATGGGATGATATGGGATTTACCCTCTGGTAATTTAACAGTTTGCTATTGAAAATGGCCATAGAAATAGTAGATGTTCCCATGAAAAATGGTGGATTTTTCCATAGTTTTTTGTATGTTTACCAGAGGGTAAGGGCGGGCATCTCTATGAATTGGGCATCCAAAATACATGGCTTTGCCAGTACATGCCAGTACAAGTGACCTAAATTTAAGTGGCCTTGTGTCATGGTCCAGTTACCCATGTTTTGTGAGCTCCAAGATTCGGAGCTCAAACAGCAGCACCAAATCTATGTCCCAGGAGCATCGGTGTTCTCAAAGTAGTTGCTCCAATAGGGCCGGATGGCTTCCTGCCCTCCGATGTCCCACACGTTCCTTACAGCCATGGCAGGGCCAAGAGTTGAGAGCTACCCTCTGGTTATTTCAATGTGGCTATGGAAAATCATCATTTTCAATAGGAAATTTCATAATCATAAATAATCATCTATAAATAGGCCATTTTCCATAGCCATGTCAAATACCCATAGCTAGGGTATATGAAAGACATCTTAAACACCTTGACACATGGCACCGCTGTGGGCAAAATCTCAGCTTTGTGTGTATGGTTTGCCTACTCCAGGTGGGCCATACATCCATCCTGACTAAGATGTGGTGGCAAGCCCACCATTTCTAGATCATTTTCTGAACGGGATGGCCCCATGGGTTTTCCCACATCTTTTCGCATGGTTGACGTCAGCACATCATGTGGAAACATCATGAAACATCAACTTCAAACGAGTTTCAACTTGAAGCCATCCTGCATGATGCTCTTGATGTTGAAGCCCTGTGTAGGCATGGTATGGGAGATATCTTCCGAGGTCATGGTCTTGAGGATGGTGGTCTTCCCCGCGTTGTCCAGGCCCAAGATCAGGATCCGGGCTTCCATGTCATCCTGTCGAAGCCGTTGAGATGACCATGGTGAGCACGTATGCATAACCCGTAGAGATGAATCCATGCATCATATGGCAATCATATGGTATATGATCACCCGTTTGTTCATATATGTTCACATATGTATATATATATATATAACAACAATAATATAGTAATAATAATAGTAATAAAAATAATAATAATTACATGTCTGGTCATTTGTGTGCGTGTGTGTGTATGTATTTGTTCATTTGTGTTCAACAAAAGTGCAAAATAAATATTGCAATATACTGTATATATATATATGTACATAATAATTGTATATACATAAATGCACATACAGTAAACCCACAAAACGTCACGCAACTGGAACATTTGAAATGATACTTTTTGAATATATATAGTGATAAGTGACCTATTGAACAACAAGTGTTAAACTTCAGTCTGAAAATCTAGCAGAAAAAATGGTATAACATCCTCCTTCATCAAACTCACCACTGCAGCAGGTGAAACTCCAGCATCCCCAAGTCCCAGTCCTTCTTCATCTTTTTGAGCAAGCCAAGCAGCCCCATGTCTGCAGAGTCTAGAGGAAGGCTCGGGAATGGCCAGGGGGCAAGCTGCGGTGGCGCACGTTTCGCGCCAGTGTCGCGCCAAATTTCGCGCACAGTGCTGAAGAGTTTGAGCCCGTGCCGGCAACATGATTCGGACAAGGTCTATATGTAGATAGAAAAGGATGGAAACCTGGAGACTTTGAATTGAAGTTGAGATCATCTAACATATTCCATTCTAGAAATGCTGTTGTCATCCTTATATCCTTTAACTTTATCTTGCTTACTTGTTTACTTACTTCCTTGCTTACTTATCTATTTATTATATAATTAATTCTATTTATCCATCCGTCCATCCATCCATCAATCCATCTAGGTTCGTATGAAACGCTTGACTCATGAAACCGCTAATATAGTCATCCTTTCAGAAGTCCTCCTGGCTGAAGGTTCATCTGCCAATCATCACTATCTCCCACAGCTGAGTTTCCGACATTCTCAGCTTCTGGATGGGCCTTCACGGGGTTCGTCAGTGGCACATGTATGCACATGTTGGAGGGCATTTCAGTGTAAAATGAAATTGATCATGATGGTGATGATGGTGATATGAGCCCCAACACAAATAATGACTGACGACCAGAACGAAAAACAATATCAGAATCAAAGGATGTAATGTAATGTGTGTGTATGTGTATGTGTCTGTGTGTTGCAACTGCCCCTTCAACATATCCTCCACACCCTAGAGTCCCTAGAGCTTACTCCAATAATAGAGAGGGGCCCCCAAATGGCAGAGTCTGGCAGAGTCTTTCATCATCGTTGATCTTTCTTTGGGGTCCCATTCCAGCAACCTACTTCTCACACCCTTAGAAGCCCCCTGCCACAACTTTTTCGAACCTTCCGGAGAAATTAGATCAAAAATACAGACCATCCAGTGGAGTGCAAACTCCGCCTCCCTGGCTGGTGGTTCCAAACATCTAACATCAACAAAACATCAATCAAAGGGGTGGTCCTTCCACCTGCTTCTTTTTTTCCTTGAACTTGATCCATAATTTAAAAAAAAACGCAAAATGTTGAAGCAATGTCTGAAAGCACCAAGCCAGATCTGAGAAATTCTGAGGTCTGTTGATTTCCGTGAAACAAAAAAAAAGAACTCCCCGCACTTCACAGCCGGCCGGGCGTTCTCACGCCGGCAGCTCCTGACGGGTGGCCGGGCCGAACTGATCGTAGGACACTGGGACCTCTGGGACGTCGCCGGAGTCCAATTCCTTCATGAAATCCGAAGCCACTGAGTCCTGGCTGCTTTGGGGGCCACTGGTTGGAATTTTCTATGATATCTATGTGAAGAATTTGGAATGATGATCTGATCAATGACATGTATTTTTTGGGGGGTGGGGTGAAATCAAGATTAATGGATCCTACTCATACCAAAATGCCAGAATGCTATAGCATAGGGTGTATAAGGTGTACCGCACTGACACCGAAGGCATGCCCCAGAGCCATCAGGTGCCGCACCTCGTTGTCCATGACGCCTAGGCCCGGTCCGGCGGCGCCCTTCTTGTCCGCGCTTTCGATGGCGTTCGCCGCCGCGGAGATCTCACAGATCTCCGCAGTGATGGCGGCCTGACGCTTCCTTGGAGATTGCTGGCTGGACCTTTTTTTGTGGGGAGGTTGGTTCAGTACTAAGTGGATGTAGTTTTAGGACATTTGTACTGGAAAGAGTCAGTACTGAAACTAATTATAATATGGGATCCCAACAAAAATGTGGGTCATGGTTCCAGCTTCGGGAATGAACATGCAAACAGTTGAAGCCCACCAGGCTCCGCAAAGAGGTTCATCCTGGGATTTCATCCCTGGGGTGGTGCCAAGGAAAAATTGCAAGAAACTCATACCATGGCGAAGTCAGGGACCCCAAGCCCTTGGCCAAGAACAATGCAAGCAATACTGTGACTAAAACAAATACCCCTTGGTTATTTAACATAGCCATGGGAAATGGCCCATTTATAGATGGTTTACCTATTGAAAATTGTGATTTTCCATGGCTATGTTAAATAACCAGATGGTACCGCAAACATCAAGAAACCATGGTATTGACTGTGAAGTTTCCCTTCAACCAAGCTTTGTAACCCAGAACTGCTTGAATATCTTCGGATGGGCCACAGCCAGCACAGCTCAAACTGGAATTCCTACGTCCAATAAACCGTCTTGGTCTTGATGAATCTGGTGTTCTCTCTCTCTCTCTCTCTGATATCACGAGAATATTGGTCCTATCTTGGCACACCCATCACCCATCTGTATCCAATTGGTTGGTTCCTCCACTCGCGAACCCAGCGTCTTGTTGTAGAGGAGCAGCAGCTTCTTCTGCAGCCTCAGATCACAGCTGCGGGCATCGAGAAGCTGCAGCCTTTCTCAGTAACACTCCTATGGGAAAACGTGCGGGATACAAAACATGCACCGATCACTAGAATCATCAAGCCATTTAGAATCATTTAGAATCATTTAATATCACTTTGAACCCCACAAGTTCTCCCAATTCCCCAGCTCCACCCCGGGGGTCGCCCCAACCCAACGTGCCACGCGCCCCGGGCATCCCCGGGTTCCGGGGGTCGCCGGTGCCACGGCACTCCTTGGCGTTGTCCGTGGCCGCCTTCATGGCCGACATCCGCGAGGAGAGCTCCGAGGCTTGGGCATCGAAGAGCAGGGACAGCAGCTGGGAATTCAGGTACAACGGCCTCGGAGATGGAAAATCAATGGACTCCTGTGGGGGATATATAGGAAATATATAGGGAATACAAGGGGCATATATGGAAAATAAAAAAGGCAAATCTTGTGGATTTCATGACTTCAAAACAGCCAAGGCATGGCGAATGGCTATTCTTGGATCACCTGCACCAAAAAATAAATGTTTAGTCTGTCCACTATTTTCATCTATGTCTGGAATGTCAAATTTATGCCCCCCCGGAACAAAAATGCAATACCAACCAAAAGGTTGGCCCGAAAGAAAACCTTGGATTGACGAGGGGTGCTAGTTCCTCGGTTGGTTTGGGAGGGAAGACACTAAAAATCATGACTTTGGTTTAGCATCCATGAGCCCAAATCTGGGATTGAACGGATGGCTAGCATCTCACAGGACATTCAATAAACCTTTCAAATCTGAAGCGCAAGGCTCCCGCAAGGATCATTGATGATGATGATGATGATGATGATGAGGAGGAGGAGGAGGCGAAATTTCAGTTCAGACATCAAATATAAAAAACAATCCATTCCAATGCAAGCATTACCTACATATCCAAAAATTATCAAAAATGAAATAAGTGCATAACAAACCAGCAACTCATATGCGGAAGTGACCAGCAACCCACCTTAAACATGTACCACATCCACCTGGATGGGTCTATCTATATGCATGCTTTGAGGGAGTTTCTGATGCTCAAACGCAAGCCAGCAACAACATCGCGTTCAGCAGAACTTGAGGAGGCCTGAGCCATCAGCGGGATTGTGATCCTATTCGCCTATTCACCACTATTTGGGTTGAGAGGGATGTTCAATATCCTGTGCTTCTGCAGTGGGAAGTTGTTGGCTGATCTTGCGCTGAAGCACAAGTGGCTTTCTTCAGGTCTCAAGTTCCCAATGAACGTCTGTCAATCACTGATGCTCTTGGAAGGAGCCATCGGCATTTCGGATACAACCACTGGAAATCATGGAAATGAGCATGGGATCGCCAAGGACAAGCAATTGATTGGATAGATCTTGCAAATGGATCAAAGTCGGTTAATCCAAAACCAAGTGGCTGGTCAAAAATCACATCTGCCTGCGCAAGTCCAGAGCTTCAAACGACCCCCCAGGCGTTTCCCAACCCTATCTATTAAAAGGGGAAAGTGGTCCACAAACAAATCACATGTTCGGTGCATTCGGTACAAATCAGTGTTTGTTGTTGCTTGTCTTTGCGCTGTTAGTGGCACAAGCAATAAGTCATAAGGTTGCAGATATAAGCTGTTAAAAGTTTCCACCTAATACATCTTAGTTGAACTAGATAGTTGAACTAGAGATCCTAAACAGTTGAGACTTCCGGCGTGTGGAAAACTACGTGCACTTCAGGCGGCCAGCCTCAATCTCCTTGGCTTTGGCTGCCTTCACCTTCTCTTTCTCCACCTTGCTGCACAAAAAAGGGATAGAAACGGCCAAAGGTGGGTCCATTGGTAGCAACTAGGGACATAGAACCAGCACAGGGAGGGAGTCCTGACTGATAAATACTATACTGGCATGTGTGTATGACATTGTATGACTGTATGACCTTTCGGCGAAATATATCATCAGAATCATCAGAGCAAAAGTGGATCAGTGGATGTGAGCATGGGTCAGAATTGGGTACCTCAAAATCCGATGCTTTACTACTACAATAGTTACCAAATATGAACCACATGTAACTTTCCCACATTACATCTCTCTCCCCTCTTTTCATCCCCATCAGGTCTCCCACATATATTTTCCCACATTTCCCCATTGAAAGTTGTCATTTTCCAGCCAGCCATGTCTAAAATTGCCAGAGGATACCACCCCCCCAACAAAAAAAGGAGATACTCCCCACCTGGTGGGTCTTCCACATAATTTCTTAATAACATGTGATAAACATCTCTTGTCAATGGAAGTATAATTCATTTCATTCCGCAGAAAAGGGAGTCCTTGTGCTGACATGTGAGAATTCAACTATGGAAGTATCCCAATGGAGAAGAATCTGGTTGGTGGTATACCTACCCCTCAGTTGGGATGATTATATATTCCCAATATATGGATTTTTTTAAAGCCATGTTCAATGTTCCAAACCACCAACCAGACCATCACAGGTGGGAGCTCCCCACCTTCAACTTGCCCCCCTCCGTGGTGAGTTTGAAGGTCTCATCCTCCGGATCCTCCATCCCGGTGGGGGACAACGGCAGCAGGGTGCGGATGGTGGGCTCGTTGTTGATCAGGTTGATGAACCTGGCCCAGGGGGACCCCGAAAAAAGGGGAACCCTTTTAGGGGAATTTGCGGGGATGTCCTGGACATTTCTGAATGCCCATCATAAAGTAGGAGAAATGATGAAAAGATATGAAAAGGATGGAAAAATGTGAGAGGCAAACCATGAATAACTGGGAATTTCATGGAACTTCATGGGGTTAAACACGGCCGAAACACTATCAGCCAGAAGGAGTCGGATGCCATTGGCACTCTCATCTTGTGACACTCGCCAGAAAGGACTCAAAACCAAAATGTGGGCAAAAAAATGGAAAATATACTGTAAAAAGTAACTTAACACATATCCTCTGGTAATCTGACATAGCTATTGAACAAATCATTCCCCATAGGATCCATGGTGCGGGTATATATGCTAACATTTGGGGTATATTGATGGTAAATGTCACCATATATAGCAGCACCATGGATCCTATGGGTTCTATTAGGGTTTAAAGCATTTATACATGTTCCATAGCTATTTTCAAATTACCAGAGGGTAAAACCTGATCTCTTCCTAGATTTGATGAAGATATGTCTTCTGGACCTCTACCCGACTCTACCCAGTTCTACTGACTATACATATTCGGCTATTGCCCAAACCTTCCAGGTACCTCTGAGAAAAGTAACCAGGGTGATTTTACCTAAAATGATGTTGGGGTTGCTTACCTATCTGACAGGTAACTGGAAGATCTGGAAGATAAGGACAATAAGATCATATAAATCACCCAATCCCAGCCTGGAATAGGCGATCTCGATCTTGTCCACCTCGCCCGAGAGGAAGTAGTTCTCAATGGTCTCCGCGATGGCTGTGGAGTCTTTGGCCTTGATGGTGTCTGGCATGGCCCAGAACTCCTCAGTGTAGTTGTACTTGTACTTGTCCTGGGGCTGAGCCCACTGGGAGGGTCCTTCTCAAAGGTGGAGGGGAAAAAATTGGACCAAAATAAACATGTTCTTTGTTGAGTCAAAGTCTCCGCGATGTGATACAGCTCATATGATTTCAAACATCAAGAACCTCATTGATTTGGTGTGTCTTTATATGTTTTGCCATCTCTTGCTACATGTCTCTAAATGCATGCCCGCATACTACTGAATATCTGCACACTATGGTACAACATTATTATACACAGGGTTGTTTCCCAACACCCAAAGTATCAAGATGGGAAAATGTGAAAGAAAAACTTAGCATTCTTGAAATCAACAAGCAGGGTTTCTCCCAACACCTCAGGTACGTTTGGGTGATCATTTTACCATATTTTACCTATAATTAGAATGTGACAATGTTATCAACATTCAAAAACAAATAAATACAGTAACATATATACCATCTATATAACATGTCCATTCTATCCTTGTGGCCATCATTTCTCCCTAACGAACCTTCCACGGTCTCATCTCCATCCCCATCCCATGGCTGTCCGGCTGCATGCGGGTAGTCAACGCCTGGACGCCCTTGCGCCCTACGATGAAGAGCTTTGGGGCGATGCCCTGCTCGTTCAAGGCCAAAATACGCGCCTGGTTCCAGGCTGGAAATGAATGTCCAGCCTCATATATACCGGTATATGATCATTTGGTATATGACCAATACAAATCATTACAGTATCATTACGAATCATTCTTGTATCATAGTACTATGGTAGAATGTGTATAATCATTGGTATGATGTAGTTTGTAACTATGCTATAGTATAGATCATTGGGTATAGAACCAGTCCTGTACATGTCTTATACATGAATCAGCTGTATAACTATAGGACATTGGTATGATATGATCATTGGTATATGACCAATACAAATCATCATAGTGTCATGGTAATATTAAATGTGTATAACCAATATTAGCCAACATGGTAGAAAACTGTTCGGATTTTTTGTGGATTGACATATCTATATTTTTCATTCTTTCTTGAGCGCCATCTCTCAAGTTCAGATCGACATATGGAATCATGATTTTGATGGGTATATTTCAACTGCTGAGGCTGAGAATTTGAGAAGCAATGCTTTGGCGTGCTTGCATAATTTCAGAATTTCATTAACACTCACATGGATTTGACAAAACAAAACAGAGATGCAACCTGCACCTAGAGAGGAAAAGTGTGCGAAAACAAAAGAGCTGAACTAATTGTGGCTTGGAATGTGAGAACGTGCCCTACCCTCTGGTAAACATACAAAAAACTATGGAAAATCACCATTTTTAATGGGAAAACTCACTATTTCAATGACCATTTTCAATAGCTATGTTAGTCATTACCAGAGGGTATCCACTGCCCCTCTAGCCTGGGTTTTCTTGATCACGAAGGCATTGTAGGCACCGCACAGTCCTGGCAGTTCTGGGAGGCGGTTCTCCCTATAGACATCCAAGTGAATCCAATGTTTGAGATGTGTAATGTGGGTAAAACAATGTCATAAACCATCCATGACTGGGAATGGTAACCATACAACCATATACCACCAACCAAAAAATGGTGATAACTGGGGGATGGTTTATTATTGTTTATTATTGTTTTACCCATTATTAATTTATCTGTTCACCCCCCAAAATGCCATGCTTTCAACTCCGAACTCGCCGATCTTGGAAGGCCACTGCTGCTAGCTGCACCGCCATCCGGCCTCGCTGCCCAGTGATCATCAAAATGCCCACATTCGTCACTTTCTCAGGCACGCGCAGCATGGGAAGGTCCGCCTCCAGCCCCGTGCCTTGGGCGATTGGGCAACGGATTGGATGGGAACAAGTGGCGAAACACGGTGGATGGGATAAATGTTGGTAACACGTGCATGAATAATCATGAATATATGGTGAAAAATTGTAAACATGGTGAGATATTTATGGAATACGCTGCGTTACTGTAAAAAATGCCAAGCTGCGTGGTAAAATGCCATGTATCACTTACAACCAGCAACCCTGGAAAAGGTGGACAAGACTCCATCATCCAACCCGATGCGACAATTACGGCATGTCTATTCATATCTATATTGCTGACTTTATCCTTCAAGTCAACGAAAGTCAGACTTGTCTGAAAATGGTATAGCTATACAATATTATACACTTATACCCCAAATCCACTGCATTTTCCAACGAAATGGCAATTTTCTGGGTATATCCAATTTCTTAAAAACAGTAAAGTCCTATCCTGCCAGGTGACCCTTGAGCTTCTTCACCAAGCCCTTAATCATCGACAGCAACTCGTCACTGAAGGGTCGAGCCTTCTCCACCCCCGTCTGTGCTGCACGCACCTGGACGTCGCGGCACCCAGTGCGGGGTGAAGTGGGCTATGGCTGTTTAGAAGCCATTGCTATACATCTAGCTATATATACATACACACATATATACAGTATATATATAATTATTATTGATAGATTGATGTAGATTGATTTAAGAAAAACTAATGTGGGAAACCCAATACCATAAAACTTACCACTTGGGACCTTGGGAATAGCTTACCCAACATGGTGATTTTGGGGATGGTTTGCTTTTGGGTTTGCCGCATTCACCCGAAAGAAGGCCACATTAAAAGGATGATTCGCCCTGTGAACCATCATTCTTTAGTGACGTGGCGACGTGAGGCCGTCAAAAAAGCATATCCAAATACGTGGGATGTCATATGTGTAATGTGAGAGAGAGAGAGAGATATTCAAATATATATATATATATATATTTGGGGGGCTGAACGAAAGGTTGGAACATGGGAACAAATCCGTGTGACATTGATGGACGATTGGGAGAAACATGGAGAACAAAAATATGGAAAAACAATGAGATTTTCACATCATTTCGCATCACGACGATGCAGAAAAAGACATGGGAAAATCGCAGGAGAAAAAACATGGTATAGTAACCATCATCATTGATACAGGAAGATGCCCCTTAGCTTCGGTTTTGGACCTAAGGATTAAGCCACTGGAATGATGCCTCCAGCGCAAAAAAGGCTGTTGGTCCTCATCCATTTTTTTTAAAACGCCACAGAAAACGTGTTTGAGGCTGCCAGCCAGGTGAGAAAAAACGGGTGAGAGAGGGCTGGCACCTCCATTCTGAATCTTGGTTACTGGCTATGAATATGTTTAAACATGTTTATATCTCACCTGGCTGAATCTCCGCTTATTGTTGGTTTAAGTGACCATGTTCATGTCTGAAGCCATCATCCAGATCATCCAGATGACCAAAGGGTACGGAAGCATGTGCATCCCCAGTTAGGAAGTAGTACAGAACCTATACATCCCCCCAGACGCCTTGGCCGCCGCCACCAAACGCATGGCGTCGGTCAACTTGCCGGTCTTGCCCACTGAGGTCCATCGATCCTTCAGCGCCTTGTCGCCGGCACACCTGAAACACTGCCATACCCAGTAGCCTCAAAAAACATGATGCTCTGATGGGGTTAGAACATATATCGCTATAGGTAATCAACTAAATGTTATTTCTGATAGCAGGGATGGGAATCTAGCTATAAGTATCTATGAGTAATCAACTACAATTGATTTCTGACAGTAGAGGTGTGGGAACACTCCCTTTTTCCAAGTCATCTGGGCTTTTTTTTTGCTAAGGATGAGTTGATGTTACATGATGTGACTGGAAGCCAGGCCGAAGTCGCCGAAGTCTCCTAAGGACGGCCAACATCTCTGATCCATTCCCGATTTTGCAACTCAACCCACCAGAATTGGATGAAAAATAAACCTAATATACACGTCCATGCATGAGTTTGTCTGAAAAATGTCTGAAAATAAAGTACCCCAAATTCCAATGCTGAAACATCATTATCCCTAGTAAGATTGTCATTTTCAGGGTATAACGGTACAACATGGTATAACCCATTTTCAGACATACCCATACCTGCCAAGAAGAGAAACAAATGTGGTTACGCCAAATTTTCCTTTCAACCCTTCAACCCATCCCATGAGCTCCTTGCCCAACAGCCCCGGGTGCCTAACAACCTTGGGAGTGGTGGGTCGCTGCATCTGCCCCACGAAATCCAGCTGCACCCAACGGCTCAGAGACACCAGGGCCGCCACCGCCAGCACGGAGAGCCACGATCCACGCGCCATGGCTTGGGTCTTTCGCCGAAGCGTCAAGCGGGGACAGGTGGGGCGACAGCTGGAAAGGTGGAAACCGGGCACAGGAATGGCTGGAAAGTGGGGATCATCTCTGGCAATCAAACATGGCAATGCAATATGTCCTTTTACTTGATGGGACACTCATCTGCAGCAGCTAGGAAAAAAGGGATGTTATTGGGGGGACATTGCCAGGTTCGATTGCCGGAGCTGTTGTTTTTGCTCCTCAAAATTTGCAAGTTGGGCAGAATCACCATAATTTATGTCATTGAGATTATGTTTACAATGTTTACGCTGTCGTCGTCATCATCGTCATCGTCATCGTCATCGTCATCATCGTCATCGTCATCATCATCATCATCATCACCACCATCATCATCATCATCATCATCATCATCGTCATCGTCATCGTCATCGTCATGATGAACAATCCCTCTCCATACCCGATGGTGTTTTCAACATAATTCAAAAACATTGGTCAATTTGGACACCACCTCAATTGCAGGATATGTAAATGTGACGGAGGCTCGAAGACGGCAAATCACCAGCTGCCATCGACAACTATCAGTTGCATCACCTCCCGGCATATGTTGCTAAAATTTTCTCAGGTCTTGACCCATATTTACAACTCATTGTTCTTCGGCTTAGAAACGGAAGATTTGGAAAGACCTTCCAGAATTGTTGTTCATGTCCCAACCACAACCTCAAGCAAACCCAACCGCCTCTTCCAGGGCCCAGTACCTGAGACTTTCGGGGTGTGGTCGCCTGCAGAAAACGTGAAATGGAAGCCCCAAAGATGAGCCGGATTGACTGGGCATGGATGATGTTTGTTGCTGATGTCCTCCATGGGGTTCCATCTTGATCTTTTGGAGACAGATGACTCAGATTGGTGGTGTTCATCACAACGGCCTCCAACACTTTGAGAAGGATGACTCTGAGGCGGCTTGTCTTCCTAAAAGTCTGAGTTTTTCCACTTCCAGACCGTTCCAGACCACAGTCGTGCGCTCCATGCAATCGTTGTGAAACGAAGTTGCCAGTGCTACCTCAAAATCTGCACATTTTTCATGCGGGGTTCTCTACTCTTGCAGAGTCCCTTGGGTTTTCCTGGCGTTTTCAGGGTCGGGCTGCATTTGCAAGAAATTCGTTGCAACATTCTGGCAGCTTTCATCATCAAACATACAGTACACACCAAAAAGAACACTGAAAACCAATTCCACTAGACTATACTCATTGCCATCCTCAACCAAAATCTCATAGCCCGACCCTTTCTCCAAGATCAGCTAGGTTAGCTAAAGTCAGATATCATTTCGCCATCATTTTGCCATCCTTTTTCCCTTCTCATCCCTTCCGGCAGTTTCCAACCAGCCATTCCATGCCTTCCTGCAGACCTTCGCTGGTCTTCGCGCTACAGGCCTGGATCTGCCACACGCGATCCCCGATGGCGTCCAGTTCCAGGGCCGCCGAAACGTCCTCCGCGCCCGCGGCGCTCATGAGGTCCTTGGGCTTCCACCAGTGGCTGTGGGTGGGTTGGTGGTGGTGACGATGACGATGATGATCATGATGGTGGTGGTGGTGGTGGTGGTGGTGATGGTGATGATGGTGATGGTGATGCTACAATTGATGATTCAATTATGACTATAATGAACCAAAGATGATGTTGATTGTATGATGTTAGGTTCACGATTTAGTTATCAACCAAGTATGTTTTGAGTTGTCAATGTTGGATGGTTAAATTAAGGATTGTTGACTGGTTAAATTCGTGGTTGGTTCAGTACCAATTGCTATTGACTATTAACATTGGTGGGTTAAATTAATACACTAACACACCCAAATCACTCAAACTAAGATCTTGACATGTAAAAAAAACATGGAAATTGGGTTGATATAGGGGGTTGTACCTTTGCACACTGGCTTATACCAAGGCAAGGGGCTTGCTTGTTGGCGAAGACCAGAGTGGGAATTCCTGCGGCCGGATCTTGTCGGCATATGCTGTTGACGCTTTCATCAATGTTGATCACTTCAAGATTCAAACATGGATGAGTATCAATCAAATTCCATGGAACTTATCCATGTTGTTCTTGAAATCCATTGATCAAGTTCAATGGATACATCACATCAGTTCAATCATCAATGGGTAAGTACCAATCGAACTCCCTTGCAAATTTCACTTCCGTGTGCTGTGTCTTTCTGCTTATCGCTCCTCAAACCAGTGTACCGACATGTACCGACAACCCCCGCCAGACTGTGGACCAAGCCGATCAAACCAAACCGGGTCCATCATCAATGCGGAATTGACATCATAGTGTCATAAGCATCTCTTGCAAATGGAAGTATAATTCATTTCATTCCGCAGAAAAGGGAGTCCTTGTGCTGACAAGTGAGAATTCAACTATGGAAGTATCCCCATGGAGAAGAATTGGTGGTTGACCAACCCCTCTGAAAAATTAGGACTTCGTCAGTTGGGATGATGACATTCCCAATATATGGAAAAATAACAAACCCCATTACGGAAAGCACTCTCCAATTATACGACAACTTTGTTTCTAACTTTCTCCTGAAATGGTAGGCTCACTATATTTTGAATGGTCTACCACATTGTAACTCAATTCAGGGATGGGCTGAAGTGAACATCGGAAACCCTGGATTCACCAGCTATCATGATATACAGCACATATTTACCCACTTACCTAACGTATCCAACTATCTACCTGCAAATGCCAAACAACTCACCCAACAAAAACCTATATAGCCTATATAATCTATATAGATATATACATTATATATATATTGTGTGTGTGCGTGTATATTTCCATTTCCATCCATTTCCATCACCTTATCATCTCCCAACATCAACATCCCAGGGCAGCTCCCCAGTTTCCAGGGCTTTTCCAGGCAGCTGGGCTCCTGCCAACTTCTCCTCCGCCAGCAGTTGCTTCAGCTCCCGCGAGCTCTCCTCCAGGCGTCGCGTGTCCGAGGAGTCCACCACGTAGACCAGGCCCTGCCGTGCCAACGGGGGCCGGGCCATGGCTGGGGGATGGCTGGGGGATGGGTGGGTTTTGGGGGAAAAACGTGGGAAACATGTGGGAAAAACATACCTTGAAATGGAAAAATGATGTCAATGTCCTCAATTTTCCTGGGTCACCGGAAGTCTATGAAAGTCTTTACACCTGAAATGGCCACTCTTGTCCACTACAAAACTGGAAAAAAGCCACCATGGGAAAGCCTTTTGGCTGGTGCCAAGTTTGATTTCAGGGGGCCACCACAATTCCGGGTCCCAGGAGCATCGGTGTTCTCAAAGTAATTGCTCCAATAGGGTCGGATGGCTTCCTGCCCTCCGATGTCCCACACATTCCTTCGCAGGTGTCATGGAGATCAGACAGGCGAAGGGATGGGAAAGCCTGTCGTCCAATGGTAAAATCGACTTCGAATAGATCACAGTGTGATATGGTTTTCAAAATCAAAATCCATCTGGATGCAATACATATCGGAGACATTGGGAGACCCTGTTGAAAAGGTTGAGAGTACCGATAGACATGGATACTTCCAGCCAGTGGCTGATAATGTTGATACATGGCTTGGCTTCTTAGTTTCAGATCGCATTCATTGGTTTCACCATCTGTGTCTCCTAGGTTTGACCAAGATAAGACGAAGGACATTCATGTCCAGTAGGATAAAAAAGTAAGGAAATGGGGATGGGTCAAAACCTTGTCCCCCTGGTGAACATCAAAATAGCTGGGATTTATGGATGTTCATCCCACTAAAAATGGTATGTATAGGTATTGATCCATAGCCAAATCAACTTGTGTTGCTTGGTCAACGGTTGCTTCGCTATCTGAAGCAACCGATGACTGGGGAGACTCTGATGCCGTCGGAGTCCAACCTTGACTTGAACCCCAAATCCCAGCTCCAATGGACCTCTAAAAAAAAGTTCGATCTCAATTCAAACGAGTTTCAACTTAAAGCCATCCTGCATGATGCTCTTGATGTTGAAGCCCTGTGTAGGCATGGTATGGGAGATATCTTCCGAGGTCAGGGTCTTGAGGATGGTGGTCTTCCCCGCGTTGTCCAGGCCCAAGATCAGGATCCGGGCTTCCATGTCATCCTGTCGAAGCTGTGAAGTCGGAGTCTTTGGGGGAGAACATCCATCTCCACCTTTACCTCGAAAATCTGACATTGCTCTCATGAAAACCCTGGCTAATCATGCCTGGGCAAACATCAAAATTGCTGCTGCAACTGGATGTTATAAACCTCCGTCTCCCAGATTGAGGCGGAAAAATGCGACTTCCACATTTCCACGAGAAGAATCATCTTCCAAACCCATGTCTTGGGCTCCCGGGTTCGTTTTGAGAGGGGTACAGCGGTAATCCACTTGGGAACCATGTGTGGAAACTTCACAGTTCACCTTGGTAGGGGAACACCCTTCTTTTTTTGGCAACGCTTCGTGCCAGTTCCCTTGGATAAAACATGGGTCACCACTGGTTACGATTGACAATCATTGATAATCAAACCCAGCCAGATCATAGGATACCATCTGGTTATTTAACAGTTTGCCATGGAAAACCCACCAATTTTTAAGAACGGTAAACCATCTATTTCGATTAGGGCCATCTATACCATGGCGAACTGTTAGTCATAACCAGAGGGTAGGATGGAAATCGTAGGCCGCAGATGGTTCCTTATGGTTCCATGTTCTGCGCCAGGTCCCAGTCCTTCTTCATCTTCTTCAGCAAGCCAAGCAGCCCCATACTGGACGGCTGGAGGATCGCTTTCACGGTTTCACGGCCCGGGGATGATCCAAAATGTCTGACAATCGACAAATCACCAAATCCGATAATGGATGGGATCAAATTTCTTTGTTATCTTGTTTCAATGGGAAATCCAGGATCCTAAAATGGAGGTACGTTAGTACCATATTTTGGGCCATATTTTGTTCCTGAAATGGCCATTGATTCTATACATCAAATAGTTTACAGTGTTTCCGGTTTCCTTCATTCTACGACCTGAAGAAAATCCGCCGGTGACTCACCAGTGCTGCACTTTTCACAACACCATCCCCCAACTTCTCCCAACTTCTAAGGGCACGTCAGCAGCTTCAAGGCCCAGTCAGGTCCCTTCCCAGGTCACAACTGGCCTGGACAACGGTGTTCCCCCCACCACTGGATGGCTCGTGACTTCCGAAAAGCAACCAACGTTGTTTCCAGTGTCTTACATGCGCATACCCATACGCAAACACACATGCATCTGGGAAAATTATCATAGTTCTTCCGGTAACCAAAGGTAGAAATTGGAAACTCCCAGTGAAAATAGTGAAAGGCGTTCCCATTAAAACATATTAACACCTCCATTTAGTTCGGGGGTTTCCAAGCCAGCCAGATTACGAAAGGGTAGCCTGAAGCAAGGTCCCTCTTCCTTGCCTTTCGGTTGCTCATTCTTGTTGGTTGAATAAGCAATGCCCCCATCGGGATGGGGCAAGACCAGTCATACCAGAATTTGGGGGGATGAACATCAATTTGCCAGCTACTTCAATGTTCACCGGAGTACAAGAGTTTTGATCCATAGCCATATTGCTAATCCCATCGCCCTAATATTAAACACCACCCCTAAATGGTCCCAGTCATATGTTTAAATCCCCTACTAAACCATGGTTTCTTGGGGCTGTTCAACATGATTTTACAGGAACCCGCGACAAAAATAGAAACGTGTTTCCAGGATGGTACGGATGACTATTTTCATACTATTTCCATATATGTCCAAGGTTTTCAACTTTTCTATCTTGATTTGGAGGTTTCCCAAAATGGGGGTGCCACCAAATTCTCCAATCAATCCACACCAAGGACCGCGCCTTACGCCATGACCCCTGGTGCAAGGTAGCAAGACACCGAAATGCTTAGGATTTTGCTATGATCAATGGCCAAGAAACTTAGAGGTATCTAGGTATCTAGCATTTTTTCAGGCCTATGTAAGGGCTATATAAATTTTAGGGAATATCCCCACAACATATGGCCTTGTATGGTACAGTACCTCCATTTTAGGATCCTGAAATTCTCATGGATATGACCCCAAGATCCCAAACATGATGGGTAAAGAAATAGGTTGTAAATGTTGTACTGGTTGGTGGTTCAACCCCTCTGAAAAATATTAGTCAGTTGGGATGATGACATTCCCAATATATGGAGGAAACAAAACATGTTCCAAACCACCAACCAGTTATGAACGAAAAATAATCCATCATGAATTGACCTAGACCAGCAGCCTTGACACAGCTGCTGGTAGCTTCCTGATTTGCTTCCTGATGACCGCAGCCATGGATTTCTCCAGAAGCCGTGGACGGTCCCAGAACGCACGACTTGTGTCAAAGAGCCAAGGGGCATAGAAAATCCCATTAAACCACCCGGAAGAGTGTACAGTGTATCAACTGGCAGCAATGGGAAAAATAGGAAAAAACGTGAAATGTGAAACGATCGACTCTAGCTATACCTGTTAGATACCCTAAACAAAAAAAAAAACAATCTGGATAATAGGTGCGTTCCCCATCTTCCCCCAATTGTACCCAAAACCAACAGCAATGAAAGCAAACACACGCAGCTGGGACTTTTTGTTGGCAGGTTGCCGTTTCCAAAGGCTGCAGCTCACGCTACGGATGGGATAGGAACCGCTTTGGGGGAGAATTTTCTACATGATCAAAAAGAATATGTGGTTGGTGGTTTTTCAATCTGCAAACAAAAAGCGCTTGGAAAACACTCAAGTCCGTTAAGTTCAAGTGTCAGAGTAAATCTACAATCATCTTGTACTTGCATCACATGAAAGAAGCTGTGTTTCCATTGAAGCTTGAAACCACCAACCCAGTAGTTGACTACTGCTCAACTTCCGTACTTGGGTGTGGATCAGAAAGTTAGGGAAACCAAAAAAGGTTGGCTAATCAAACAACTAAGTGGGCCAAGTATCACAAGAAGGCCAGAAGTTCGGTAGGGCAGTGGTCGGCCATGATCATCATGAGGTCATTTAAATTTGCTTAGACCACAAGGCAACCAAGAGTTCCATCAATTTGTTCAGGGATCATTGGATCATTTTGAAGCATAGGCTGTTTTCACATGGTTGAGGGATGTTAAATATATAAAAAGTTCACTAATCAAGATGTTGTAACCGTTTCTTTACTATTATCACAACTTAAGCCACTCTTAAACCCATTCAGATTCTATAGAGTTTTCCCATGTTTTCCCTGTGAATTCCACCTAAGGGCATCTCTTACCCTCTGGTTATTTAACATAGCCATGGGAAATGACCCATTTATAGATGGTTTACCTATTAAAAATGGTGATTTTCCATATATATAGTTATGTTAGTTTACCAGAGGGTAACTCCTGAGGCATCCCCCAAAAAAATCCTCTGATCCACAGCTCCATGGCTCCTCCGTTCTCACTCCTCCGTTCTCACGCCGGCAGCTGCTGCCGCGTCGCCGGACCGAACTGGTCGTAGGAGACCGGGACCTCCGGGACGTCGCCCGACTCCAATTCCTGCATGAAATCCGAGGTCACTGAGTCCTGGCCATGGCCGTAACGTGGCTGAAAAAAACCAGCTGATTTTGATGGTGTTTTTGATGAAGGGTATAGAAATATTGATGCCTCCGGTATAGAGTCTATAAGGCGAAGTATGCTATAGGTTGATTTTATAGATAGGTTTTAGTTCGATGGCATCTATACGTAGTTACTGGGGCATGCAAACGCACCTATAACATCTTATAACATCTTGTACCTGGGGGGGCATCACTTTGTAGGGGTCCTTTATGCAAAAGAACCGGGGAAAGCCACAAAAGTATCATCACAAAGCTTGTTGTGGATGTATGCAGACTCAGCTTGTTGGATATCCCTGTGGGCATGTATCACAACAGTTGCCTATTCCGTCAAATCCAGCTCTCAAAAATAGCACTTCGAACTGCGGCCCGGAATCAACCTGAAGCATCCACACATGTGGTTTTATCATGTTCTATCCCCATTCTCAGATCTATATCCCACCAAAATCCCCATAGAATCATACCAACCCCTAAAAAGATAGAACACTATGTCCCGGATATAGGTGATGATGGTGATGCTTCCCAGCGGTATTTTCCAGAAACCCCAACTGTTTCGATCTTTTTGGGGGTTGCTGTCTATCACACTTAGGCACAATGAATATCATGACATATAATCACATCCCAATACATCCCTATTTTGATCTATGTTGATGATTAATTCATATTAAAATCCCATGCTGCCATCTATCCCATTATATCATCATTGCATCCCATCTTATCCCATCAAAACCCTATTAATTAAATCATATGAAATCCCTATGAATTTCATCATGAAATCCCATGATTTTCCCTCTCGGAGCCGCCTCGTTGTCCATGACGCCTAGGCCCGGTCCAGCGGCGCCCTTCTTATCCGCGCTTTCGATGGCGTTGGCCGCCGCGGAGATCTCGCAGATCTCTGCAGTGATGGCGGCCTGACGCTTCCTGAAAGGTGAAACAGTGGAAAAATAGGGGGAAATTACGGGAAATTATGATCATTTATGGGAAATTCCATTATATTGGTGAATTCACGGAAGTTAATTGGAAGTTAATGGTACTACCAATGGTATATAATGGGTTAACCATGGTGGAACCAATGGTGAATTTTATTGGATCGTATGGGACACTATCTTAAATGGGAATTATATAAATGGTATTTGATGGGTAATTATGATGCCTAGATTTTGTCTGAAGTCTCGATTTTGGCTTTGGGCTATCACTCTTTCTCCATCTTTCTCGTTCCATTGCCCTCTCCAAGACTTACAACCAAGTTACATCTAGATCTGCACGCAAATGTTTAATTACTATGGATCAAAATTCATCAGAAGACACCCGAATTTGGCAATTTTCCTTCATAAACCATCCCAAGCTTGGGCTATACCTCAGTTTGACCCTTACCGAAATGCACGTCACAACATCACAGCTTCCAGGCCCATTGGGGTGATCTTTTTGATCACTTGACTCACTTGACCTTTGAATTGCCAAACAAGTTGGCCAGAATTGGTTGAAGGGAACATGTTCAGGAAACCCCTTAACATGATGGTGAAAACATGAGAAAACCATGTAAAGACAATAGTTTCCTATAGATTTTCCTCTTCAACCCATCCATTCTGTTTAGCTTGGCAGCTTGTTGTAAAGCAACAACAGCTTCTTCTGCAGCCTCAGATCCCCGCGTGGCCACAGCAGGGCGGACATCGTCTTGAAGCAATTCCCTTGGTCCAAAATGGTCCTATTCGTACTTCTTGCCTCCGCAATCAGCATCACATCTCCCAGTTGTTAAGACTGGTGACCGAGGTAGCAACCGACCTCATGCATCATCATCTAGGTAGTTACTTTTCATCTCCTACGATTTAAACTGCTCCGATCCCAGCTCCCAGCCGCCTATAAGACCCTCAGAAACAATAGTGCTCGCATGTAAAAATCAGAGCAGCAAATTACTGGACAAATTGCTGCGTAACCGAGGTTGCAACCGCACTGACAAACAATAATGCAATAATGGGATATTACATTGACATAATGGGCTTGGTATTGTTTTGGGCGGTTGTTTTGCTCCAACCAACTGTTTAAGAACCGACAAAAACCCCAACAAGGCACAAACCACAAGCTCTACTATTCAATACTTCCAATTTCCGGTTGCAAAATGAGATCAATTCATTTCCCTGAGCACATCCCAGAACATCATCATATTTTACCAAATGTTATCATCATTTTATCATAGTTTCCCCTAGAAATCAGCTTCCCCAACGCCCCCACCATGCTATTTGATTCCCGTGCCCCGGGCCCCGGGGGTCGCCGGTGCCACGGCACTCCTTGGCGTTGTCCGTGGCCGCCTTCATGGCCGACATCCGCGAGGAGAGCTCTGAGGCTTGGGCATCGAAGAGCAGGGACAGCAGCTGGGAATTCAGGTACAAGGGCCTTGGGAATATCATCATTGGATTGGTTTAAGGGAAAATCTACAGGAAACCATGGTTTTTACCATCAAATATAGGGCTTTCCTGTAAATTTTCCCATCATCCAATTCTATGAAATAGATGAATGGCTGGTTTGCTGGGAATAGATGGGGAATATACTAATGAATATACATGGGGAAGACATTCCTAACATGTCCTAACCAACTTGAATCATCGGAAGCTGGATTTCATGGATGGATGGGAGAACTTGCAGGAAAGCATGGATCGAACCATCAAACATTGCATTTTGCAGATCTTCTTGGCGGAAAATATGGATGTTGGAACAGTTAGAACCCTATGCTATCCTATGAAAATTGGATTGTGTGGACATTTGTTTCTTTCTCTGGTAATACTGGTGTTACCCTTCGGTGTCACCAAGCATGACTAGGACTGACTGGGAGAGCAGAAAATTTGTGTTTTCCCCCTGGGCCCGCTGGAAAATATAGGGAGTTAAAGTCAATTCAGGGACTGTGGAGTGCAACCCGGCCAAATAAGATGGTGATTGCAATATCAATCAAGATATTCCCAAAAACTCCCGAAAACACGTTGCACCGTCCTGAATTCAAGGCGATCATCGCTACAGTTCCATCCATTGTGCATGTTGGAGGTAGAAAACCCCAACAAATATATAATGAAACAAGGCTGAAACAACGGATGAATCGAACCACAATGAGACCACCCGTTTAAGGATTCTGGATGGACGATCCAACGACAAAACCCGTAAAAACTCGGGTGGATTATTGTTTGGGGGTTTCAACCTCCCCTGAAAAATGTTAATTATCATATAATTTGGAACTCAGCCCAGTGTGGTGGTTGAACATGACAAACAAGTGTTAAACTAGCAATCAGATCATCATTCATCATATATCATCATATCATATTCATGTATATTCTACCCATTCTATTCCCACCAATCCTAAAATCGTTTTTTACTGCTGAAATCGACGTGAACTTCGTTTCCCAAGGTGCAGCATCGCATTCAGCAGCACCTGCGGAGGCCTCAACAATCAGGTCACATCACCATGTGTTGAAAGGTAAATCATCTAATCTATTTATGAGTTATATATAGGAGAATATATACTATAATTATTAAATCATCTAGTTTCATGGGTCATGTTCATATTATATAATTTGGTTTACTGGAGGGTAAAGGGCAAGATTTGGAATTCACCTCAGCTTGATTTTCCATGACTTTGGGACGACAGGACGAACATACATTGAACAAATCCACCGCAGGACCTACAAAAGCCAAAAAACTCGAAGAGAGGAGTTTGAAAGGAGTTTATACAGTAATTCCACACATGTCCAAACGCATGCTGAAGCCGTTTCCTGAAGTGTACCCACATGTGTATCCAAAAAAACAGCAGTTGATCACTTTTCATGACACCAATGGTATTGCCGAAGAGCTGATCAAAGATCACATCTGCCTCAGCTGACGAGTTGGGAAACAGTTGCCTTGTTAGATGGGACCCTCCAAGAAGTGTCTCAGTCCAAAACACAAACCTCTTAACTTGGTCTATGTCTTCGAGCGTACGAAACAGGCAGCAGTCTGCAAGAAAACTATGTGGAAACCAGGCTGGTTTTGATGGATGAAGCAAAGCCCGGCCTCGATATCCTTCGCCTTGGCCGCTTTCACCTTCTCCTTTTCCACCTGGCGGCTGAGCGTCCAGGCCAACAGATTCGAAGTTCCAACCATCCTGGATTGTCATTCCTATATTGGGTGAAAAATTACGTATTTTGCTGTATTGCAACCTATTTCAACGCATAGTTGCTTGGCTTAGCCTCCCGATGTTTCGTTCTGGTACACCCCAAGTTCTATGGATCCATATTCAATCCCAAATCTTAAGTTCCGTCAACCCTGAATGAATAAACCCTTGCTGATGACGAGTTGGGACCCAATAAAATCCAAAGAGATCAAAGAGTGAAGATTTGTCAACATTTTTTTTACTACCCACAGATGGTTGCTGATCCCAAGGCTCATGCGATTTCCATCATCTCTATCATGTCGAGCTGGTTTCAATCCCACTAAGGGAAGCCAGTTCCCCAAAGAAGTCCCACCTTCAACTTGCCCCCCTCCGTGGTGAGTTTGAAGGTCTCATCCTCCGGATCCTCCATTCCGGTGGGGACAACGGCAGCAGGGTGCGGATGGTGGGCTCGTTGTTGATCAGGTTGATGAACCTGGCCCAGCAGGTGCCCTTTAAGGGGAAGCCTCTAGGGGACCCCAAGATCCAAGGGACTGGGAGGCCAGACATTTCACCATTGAAATTGTTGATAAAGCGGCCAACTTGATCCAACTTCCAAGGAGAACCGGGAAGCTTTTGGTGGAGACATCTGCGTGGAAATCGCTTTTTTGCCCCTACGCCGCACGCTGAACACCCACCTTAAGCCATGTTAAGCCTGCAAATCCGGCGCTCTTCATGGCACAATTCTTGACTTTGTTGATCACAATGTCTTGTCCAGTGACAGGTGTTTCCTCCCGCTGGTATCCCCCAGTTATTGGTACAGTAATCATTGGTTGCAGGTCAGGCCTCCCGCCCCTGTTTTGCCTGGAAAACTCTTGGCTAGACACTCAAAGTACCCGTAAAAATTGCAAAAAACGGGCCCAGGCATTGCAATCATCCGCAATCATTGTACCCTCATGAAAAATGATAAACTCATGCAATGTAAGTCACATCGTGCTTGATCATTCTTGGTTGCTAAAACTCCTGTTGAACCGAGTTGATTTGAAGCATTACCAGCTGGTCCCACCCCAGCCTGGAATAGGCGATCTCGATCTTGTCCACCTCGCCCGAGAGGAAGTAGTTCTCAATGGTCTCCGCGATGGCTGTGGAGTCTTTGGCCTTGATGGTGTCTGGCATGGCCCAGAACTCCTCAGTGTAGTTGTACTTGTACTTGTCCTCGTGAGCCCACTGGGGTTTCACGGCTTCCATAGAGGAACAGCATGCTGCATGCTCATGATATCATATGATATCATGCTTGGTGGTTGACCAACCGGACAACTTTGGTATCATTATCGGCATCCGTTTTGTTGGTGGGCTTTTTGACCCATATTTAGTAAACGCATTTTCACTGCATTAGTACTTCTCCCTGATACCAATGTAACTGCTCATGGTGCAAGTAAAAAGAATTGCTTTTGTTCATGGCCAGGGAAAATACGCAAAAAATCTGACCACTTTCCCATCCCCATCCCATGGCTGTCCGGCTGCATGCGGGTAGTCAACGCCTGGACGCCCTTGCGCCCCACGATGAAGAGCTTTGGGGCGATGCCCTGCTCGTTCAAGGCCAAAATACGCGCCTGAGAAAAGGCAGTCTTTAGGATCAAAGCGACTCACCTCCCAATCGATTTGAGATGCTTTGACGGTCACTGGCTGGGTCGGCCTGGGTCTTCTTGATCACGAAGGCGTTGTAGGCCCCGCACAGACCTGGCTGATGGCCATTGGGACTTTTGGGGAGCCAATTTTGTGGACACCTCTATAGACTCTTTGGACATAAATTCATATAAATGTGCCAAAGTATGCCACATTGTGTTCCCGAAGCGTTGTTGGTTCTTTGATGATTGTTGATCTTTGTTGTCCCATGCCTGTAGAGGATGTTTGACCGCCATAGCGACAGTATGCGACAGTAAAGGAATTAGATGTTAGTGAAAATCAGACTGAAATCTGCGTTGCACATGTTTGCTGCCACATCATGTTGAAAGATTTGAAAGAAAACAGGCAAGAACACCGGCTTTCCCAGTAACATCTTGAAGACATTTCAAGACCTCCCCAGGTAGTCCTAATGACTTGATCACTGGGCTAAAAATCATCACCAACTGCTAATCATGGCTGGAAAATCCGCCATTTATGTACATATAACATTATATATATATATATTATGTGTGTGTGTATGTATCATTTATAGATACAACAATTCTCCCGTTTCAAATCTCACCTTTTGTTGGGGGATCTCCCCTTCCCATCTCTTAAACCGCCAGCAACGATCAGGTCACCGAGCCGGCCTCGCTGCCCGGTGATCATCAAAATGCCCACATTCGTCACCTTCTCAGGCACGCGCAGCATGGGAAGGTCCGCCTCCAGCCCCGTGCCTTGGGAAAACATCTGTGATTTTACCCGGAAATGATGAGAAATGATGGGAATGTGAGAAGAGAAACATCGGTTTTTTTCGCTCCGCCAGTTGGGGATGTTGGGGTGGGGTGGGACACTAAACTCTAATGTTCACTTGCAAGCATACTTGATGCTACGCTATGCGAGTTTTTACACATTTGCGCACATACTTGATGCTTTGCTATGAGTTGTTCTCTTGCACTTGCACACATATTTGATGCTACGCTAAAAGATGTTCGGAAAGCATTGCGATATTATGAGATGAGTCATCTCAACAGTTTGGATAGGCACTAGACATCCCGAATCAATCTAAATCAGACATCCCATTCCAACACGAAACAGCAAGCAGACTTCCTGCTGTGTGCACACAAAAAAACGATGTGACCAAACTATGTGACACCCTGTCCCAGTGATGGACGTGCGTTTACACCCAGTCCGACCGTTGATATTTGCACGGGGGAAAACCAAGTATGTATACATATATATATATGCATATATCATATATATATATCTCTCTCTCTCTCTCTCTTTCTCCCTCGCCATCTCCGAGAGTTTAAAAACAAGTATATATACACCTGTTTGTTCATTCCGAACGGGCATTTCGATCTCCAAGGTCTCAGGATGTGTAGAAACTTCCGCAGCGGGGCATCCAACAAATATAACATTGGTGACCGCCAAGTATGGCAGTGAAATCACGAAGTGGCTGTCACGTCCATTGGCTGATCTCCACCCTTTTTGCTGGTCAAACTCAACACCGGGGCCATCACAGATCATGTAGGTGTCTTCATACACAAGAATATCATGGCATATGCAATTCATGGGCGAACAATACCAAATAAATGCATATATTAACATAACTATTGAATAATACCAACAAATATGTGTCCCAGAGTGTCCCATGTACTCTATACAATTCATCACCCAAATAGCATCATACACAAGTGCCGCTAAAACCATTCAGCATATCAATATCTCAATATATTCCAGCTATCCATCGAATCATTCAAAAATCTATCTATCCATTGATATGTGTGCTCTATACAATCTATCGTTCTCACTATCTATCTATCTATCCATCCATCTATCTATCTATCTGCCTACCTATCTATCTGTCTAGCTAGCTAGCTATCCATCCATCTATCTATCTATCTATCGATCCATCCATCTCTCTACCACTCTGTCTATTTAATCTATAAAATCTCATCTAATCCAGTCCAATCCAGTCCAATCTAATCTATCCATATCATTCCATATCTATCCTATCTATCCTATCCTATCCTATCTCTGCATCTATCTAGATGCACTTTTCCATATGGCGTAGGATTTGCGTTGCACCACTGCTGTAGCAGGCAAGGCCAGGGGGAAAGAAAAAGCACACAGCTATCAATGGCGAGATGGCCAACCTTATCCTTCAAGTCACCGAAAGTCCTATCCTGCCAAGTCACCCTTGAGCTTCTTCACCAAGCCCTTAATCATCGAGAGCAACTCGTCACTGAAGGGTCGAGCCTTCTCCACCCCAGTCTGTGCTGCACGCACCTCGAAAATCGTCGAAAATCAGACGCCAGGATCCAAAGGATTTTGATGGATTTTTCAAATGTTTCCATGTGTTTCCCCATCTTCAATAGATTCATTTACAGGGCCGTGGTGCCCCTGGCCTTGGCCGCCGCCACCAAACGCATGGCGTCGGTCAACTTGCCGGTCTTGCCCACCGAGGTCCATCGATCCTTCAGCGCCTTGTCGCCGGCACACCTGACAGAACGATGGTCTTTGCCAGGTCATCTGACTGATTTCACTGGGTATCGTTTTTTTCTTTGTTGATGTGATGTGATTCCCGAAAAGTAGGGAGATGTCATGGGATAAAACTGTGATAAAACAATATATCACATACATAGATTTAGCCGGAAGAAAGTGTGAAACTGTTGGGAAAAAAAGGATTTGGCTAATGGCCAGGGCCTGGCCAGGGTGTTTTTGGAATGTTTTGGATTGATGTGACTTGGTCATGTTATTTACAAATATCCCTTTCCATTGACAGATTCGATCCTGGTCATCCTGGACGTCAGATCTATAGCTGCCTTGCGGAAATCCCGATAGTTTCGTGACGCTAAGCACCTTTCAGAATCCGTGTGGACAGAACTGTCGCAGACAGAATCTGGCCGGAATTCTGCCAACTGTCAAAATGAATGTCAGCAAGATATGTCGATGTCGGAATGAAGGTCAGGGTCATTGTAGGAATATATGCCCGAAAAAGCTGTCAGAAACACATGTCAGGCTGCCCGAATATGGGTCACGGAAACCGTCAGGATGAACGCTTTAAGTAATTTGAGGAAAAGTGTTCGAATATGTGTTAGAGAAACTGTCAGCATGCATGTCAGTACACATGGCTGAATACAGAGAAAAGAGCATCATATTAAGTACGGGTTTATGTGTGCGTTCGAAAATGTCAGGAAACAGGTCAAAATAGTGTTTATTAATCTATATTCAAGAACAAATGCCACAATCCCATATACACTTGGCAAAATATATGTCAACGTGTTATGTATGTCAAAATGTGGCATGCGCATGGATTGGTAAAACTGGTAGCATGTTGACCCGTTGATAAACTGAGGGTTTATCATTTGTGGGTCGGCACTACTATAATTAATTATGTTGAACCTCTGAAAATGAAGAAACAAGTTGATATGATCCCAATTTTTGGAGCATTAATTATCATTAATCTACCATAATCTACCCATATCATTTTGGGTGATGTGGGGAAGTTGATGATATCATATCCCAAAAGTTCATATGCGAGAATTGTTCATTTTTGTGACTTGTTGTGACTTGTTGTGACTTTGTGTAGCTGTTTTAGGCCTAAAAAAAAGGGCAAAAAGGGCATCACGAAAGCCGAAGTCCCGCCCTGCCTGACCACCTTGGGACTGGCGGGCCGCGTCAGCTGACCCGCGAAATCCAGCTGTGTCAAGCGGCCCAGGGACACCACGGCCACCGTCACGACCAGGGCCGAGAGCCACGATCCACGCGCCATGGCGGTTGCTGGGGACCGGAATGGACCTGGAGGGGGGCTGTACAGCTGACCGTTGCAGAGCCACCGTTTCGGTAGAGAAAAGTTGGGAAATGTCAGGCCTTCAATGGACAACTGGACAAAAGGGAAAATATGAACAAGTAGGAGCTGGCAGAGAATGACTTCATTGACAAATTGTCACCGATCATTTTCGTCCGTTTTCATCGTCGATATATGTCAGCATCAACACCAGCACCGTGATCACCAAAAAAGCTTCCGTGATGTCGTCATCATCAGCAGCAGCATCATCATGGCTGTCTTCGTGACAGAGATAGTCTGTTGAGCAACGTCATACTTTTGACACCCTTTGTCTGTCACATTTTCTTTGGAGGGGGCCAGAAAGAACTTTACCAGCTAGTCGTACTAAACATTGAGTGTGGTACATGCTTTCAGCCTCAAGAGAGAAAATGAATGCACTACCTTTGCATGCCTTTGGATTTGTATATATTTGTATGGTCTTGGGAACTTGTATCAGCAACTGCTGATGCTGCCAGCAGGCAAAAGTTCCCCACGAAACTGATGCGGAGAAAATCAACCAAATGAGTACGCAAGTAAAGCCCAAACAAGGCTGGCGGAATACAGGCTTTGCCTTAAAAGTGGAATGCAATCTCTGCCCTGGGGGGATGGTGTGATGGAATGATGTCGCCGACAAGTGGTTGTGCTATATGAAACTGTGTTGAGGGGATGAAGAGATGAAGAAACTGGGATGGGGTGAACCTGACTTCTATTGAAATCCGTTTCTCTTTGCATCCCCTTCTCTTGACATCTCTTTGTCTTGTAATCCAGCTTCCTTGGCTTTTCTCAATTTGAACATCTTGACAGCACCAAAAGTCACCTGAAATGAGACATAGTCAGTACATCTGGCTATCCAAATGGGATCAAATCCGAGCTCGAACGGAACAACACTTCACCTTTTTGCACATCGAAAATCTAAAATGGCACCCAGTATCCACCCATTTCCCCCTGGGGAATAGCGTGGGTCCCCAGTTGCCTTCGCTTCCCATGTGGCCAATGGCATGAAAGTCTGACTGAGCATCTTGCTGCCGTTTGTTGTGATTGTGTGACGGTGATAGGACCAACAGAAATGAGGAATCAAAACAAAAAAAATGAATTAAGATGAATTAAGTGACCAATATCGAGATAGAACCAACATGAAGCAACTTCCCGCTTGCTTACACCGTGTTGGATCCCGAGACAAGGCTTACTTTCCCAACACACCATATGTATCCATATGTACAGTTCATCTGAATCCATTCATTTTCTCTCTCTCTCTCTCTCTCTCCATCGCTGTCAGATCACCCGGCCCTTGGTTCATCTTAGCTTCCGTATTGCAGATATATTGCCCTCTGGGGAAGGGATTCTATGTCTGGATACTGCGACTCGAATGTCAACCCAAATCCTTCCGGAAGCTGCAGAGAACGAAAATCCCAAGGTGAGATGTTGTGAACATCGCCAAGGTGGGTGGGAAGCCAGTAATCAATAGTTGTTGATATTTGTTGGATGATTCTCAACTTCTACCCTCTAATAATTTATATATATGTAATATATGTAATATACATATGATAAAACATGATAAACCATTAAAACAAATCGCTATGGAAGTCGCAATTTTTAAACCCAGTAAATCATGAAAGTAAAGGGGCCATAGAAACTCTTTTTCGCTACCAGAGATTACTCACCCTCTGGGCAGCTCAAAGCTGAAGCAAACATCCCTCTCTCTCTCCCCATTCGCAGCTGTTGGTCATAAAACCTACTAGTTTTCAAGGCACTTCATTGAAACAATTGAAACAAGAGCCCCCTCAAAGGGGGCCATCCACAGCATCTCTGATTGCCCGTGGCCCATCTCCGGCTCCAGGGATCGACCCATCGACCCACGAAACCACTGGGACACCCTACTGGCATCTGATGGGGAGGCCTGTCCCCCACACGAACCCCTCTGAGATATCAAAAAAAAATGGTGCCATCGGATCTATCTCTACTGCATCTCTCACCAAAAAACTGGCTTTCAGCCAAGTGATTAAAAAGTCTATGATATAACAAGTCGCAAATATGCGTGGGTTTAAGTCAGAATGACGTACGAGATGTTGGATGATGTTCGTTCACACTGGCCCAGGAATCCCAGGATGAATAATCATCCCCTGGTGGATCAATGCTTTTGGGGGCACCAATTTTACTCCACATATACTCCCTCGCAAAATAACATGGACAAAAAAAAAACTTGTTTGGTCCATGTATATTCTTGGACCCTCCAGACATCTACTTTCCCGCATGCTTTCTAATACCTGATTTTTGTTGGACATGAAAATGATGTTTTCATTAATCTTAACAATCATCTATGGGGTCGTGTTGTTTGTTTTCAGGGCAGGATTTGATCAGAGCAACCATGGGGTCAATCGTCAATCCCATCACCTTAGTAAAAACGCCCTTTTTGTTGCCCCCACCATGGGCTGTCGAAAATTGAGAAAAAAGAAACACTAAACCCATGGGCTATCAGGAACGTATTCTTGCGTGAAAGGCCAGCGGTAAACACAATGACCAATGATAAACTATATATGTTTTGAAGTTTGGAGCTCACTAAATGACAATTTGGTATAAGGTTCATTGGGCCTACATCATTGCATGTGTTTCCCCACGCATGCTGCGAACAGCTATGCATTTTGGACAATTCATAGGTTTGGGCCCCCCCCGGTGTGGAAAATTTGATGGGTGAAACCTTCTAGCGTTGGGTACGAAACCAAGATTCCTCTATTGTTTCCTGTGCATCAACCTACTCAAATGTCATATAGTGTTTTGGATTTCATCATAGGTTCAATTGAACTTTGGATCATAACATACCATCAACATATATATATATAATTATATATATAATCCATCATAATCCGTCATAATCCATAGATAATCCATAGATAAATCATCACAAATCCATACTGGGCGCCCATGTTTACATCGACACATCGAACCCTCCACTGGATCACAGCGCTCCCCGCACGCCTCGCTGGGGCTAGCCACTGGACCTGGCTCGCTAAAAAAGATCACTGACTCGAGTGCTGCCTAGCATCCCAACATCCATTGAGAAAGGCTCTGGTTATACCATGTTATACCCTCTGGTTATTTGACATAGCAATGGAAAATGACCCAGTTATAGATGGTTTACCTGTTTACCTATTGAAAATGGTGATGTTCCGTGGCTATGTTAAATAACCAAATGGTACATTGTATTATACATCTCATCTCAATCCGGTTTAGCAAACAATAGAAGGGCTGCGTCATTCAGTAAGGCCTATGTATCAGGTGCCCAAAATTGGAGGTACCTACCATCCATCAGGCGAAAAAAATGCAAGGGCTTAGAGGATATAGCCCCAATTTCCATGAATTTATATGGAGGTTTTCCAAAAGATGGATAATGTGGTTAAAACAATAATAAACAATCCCCCAGTCATCACCATTTTTTGTTTGGTGGTATGGTTACCATTCCCAGTCATGGGTAGTTTATGACATTGTTTTAACCACATTACCCCAAACCCTTGGTTTTTCCCATTGAAAAGAGCCATTGAAACGGATGATTCTGGGCTACCTCCATGGCATCATTTCCGTCCCAAGCCCACCTGGAGGTAGGGCACCTGGCGGTAGCGGCCTAGGCACGACCCAGTCGCCCGCGGAATGCCCGGCAGGCTTTGAGGTGTATTGATGCATGGAATATCAACAACATTAACTAATATTCATATCATGTAACTAATATCTAACTAATATCAAATCATACAAACCAACAATTTGCCGTAACTCAACACTATACAACAGTGTCTAGCTAAAAACAATTCCAAGCCCTGAAACCTTATATATTTGAAAACATCTAAATTTGTAACTGGTACCAGGAAGTCTGTGTTCCCTCTTGTGGCGGAAAAAATGCATAGCCAAACGAAGTGACCCAGTGACCGGAATCCCAAACAATGGTTGGGTTCACAATGAATCAACATGGTGGTGCTTGGGAAATTGGGGAGCCAATGGGCCCACAAAATTTGTCATTGTGTGATATTTTGGGTGCCCCTTCATTTGGGGGTTCAGCAAGTCCAGGTAAAACATCAACCCGCTCTGACTGCAGAATCTATTGATCTCATCTGCTCCATTCTCTCCTTGCTTAAGTTGGCATTCAATCATTCAGAGCTAAGACATCATCCCCAAAAACATTGCTTTCCCCAAAACCCATAGGATACATGTATGCCATATATGGTAACATTTACCATTAATATACCCCAAATGTTAGGATATATACCAGCACCATGGATCCGTCATGGGAAAGAAATGACCCATTTCCTCCATCTGGATCCATCTGGATCCATCGAGCCATAGCCGGATCCATCTGCAAGGGCCCAAGGGGCAAAGTCTGCGAAGTCCATCGTGGGTGCCTCATCCAACAGCAGAGCGTGAAACGAGCCGCTCCATGATCTGATCAGGAAAAAAGATGCAAAATCATCTTCCAGGGACCAATCATGACCAATCTACATATATATATATATAGTCTCTCTCTATATATATATATATATAGTCGTCTCTACATACATATATATATATATATATAGTCATCAACATGAATATGGGCTTTCCGTGCCAGAATTCTTGAGGGGCTGCTTCATGCGAGTTTTCACCGCTGAGAATCCTTGAAGCATGAGCCCTGGGAAAATACATGGAAAAGCCTGGCTACCTAATTGATATAGCGGTGATAATTGGATAACCCAATGAACCAGGGTGCTCCCGCGGATGACAGCAAAGTGGTGTTGATGGGCAGGCAGGTTCATAAACAAGTTTGAGGGCAAGGACTTCCTATCTGGCCCTCTTGCTATGGACGATCCTGTCTCCTTTGCTCTCCCTGAAGTCAGAAAAGGGTTCGAATATATATATATATATTGCAATATGTTGTACTTGGTTTATATGAATATCAATAATAAACAATATATATATATCATTATATCATACATCCCAGTTACAAGGGTTTTAATTCAGCCACTTGCCTTTCACTGATTTCAGGCTTAACCCCAGCTACCATGCAGCTACCTACTGCCCCTGGCACAGATCGGCAGATCCACCTTATCTCTGGCGACAATCTCTCAGATGCCTCCTGCCAATGGCTAGCTGGCAATGTCCACACTGATCGAACTAAAGAGATCTAAAGAGATCTAAATGGAAGATTTTCCAGCATGCCATGGAGATTACCAAAGGGTACCAGCAGTCAATACCGTGGTGACATGTGGTGACAGCATGTGACAGCTAGAGTCAGTAGGAGCCTCCCAAGGTGACCAATAACACCGTGACCCCGTGTATCACCTGCAACCTTCCCTCATCAACCCCTCATCAACCCCAGAGAATCTGTCGCAAATGGTGGCTTGACCCAAATTTGGTGTCTACACAGCCTTTTATGGCTACTAGTACTTTGATCCCACTCGTCGCTCCGGTCAGTCAATTGTCCACGCCTGCGGCGCACTGGTGGGCCGTTGTCCCATCGGCGGTGCGTACTGCAAGACCGGTGCAGGTGCTGCAGTCAGCACTGGGTGCAGGGCCGGTCCCACTTGTAGGGCTGGTTGGAAGGCCAGGGGCGGGCTGCTGGGCATCGGGATAGGCATTTCCACCCCCATTGACTGGATCGGCTGGCTGGAAACCTCCTGGTCCATGGGGTTCTCCTCTGGCAGGAGATGTTCCAAGAGCAGGGGATGGCCCCCGAAGCCGAAGGCCTCCGGGGTCTCAGGAATCCAGCTGGTGTTGAGGTCGACTTCCTCCGTTTTTGGGGAGCTGGAGGGCAAGGCCCCCGGATTTTCGGAGACTTCGGAGTCATCACTGAGAGGCGTTGGCCTGAGCAAATCTCAAGCTGTGGGGGTTGGGAGTTGGCACCATCTGAAATGGGGTTGTTCATGACAAATGACGGGTGTAGAGTTCCAACACTAGTACAGTAACAGCTCTCTCCCCAAAAAAACATGAACAACGAGGTCATTACGATCACAATAGGACCTAGGATCCCACCGATTCCTCTGATCAAAATAACAACCTCCAAACAAATTTCGTTAAAGCTTGGTGACCCGGGGACCTTGATCTTGGAAATACACAACAATGGAAGGACCCCTCGTTTGATGGCTAGTAGCAGCTGTCCAGCCACTCAGCCCACTCACCCACAATGATCCCCTTACTTCATGAAAACGACACTTGCTTTGAACCTCATCAATCGGAAATGGATCACCGGAAGCACGTTGCAAGGGCACAGAAATAGCCAACTTTGCTCAAACATGGGTCAAGCTGCTCATCACAGGCGAACTTGGGCATACTTGGACCGCACTTTGTATATCTTTCATCCCCTGCAGAGCCCTCAGCAAAGTCAGGTTTGCCTCTTGGCAGCTAAAGGATGTTCCAAATCTGTATTGCGAACTACCCACAACAAACTACCGGCTGATGGTTTCACCCCATTCGAAAAGACGAAATCAAGCTGGAGATGATCGTCCCAGGCAAGGAAAATATAGCACATTATGCATGTATGGAGGTTTCCTGAAATAATAAATAGGGGTACCCCCAAATCAATCCAAATCATCCATGTTCATAAGATGTTCCATTATTATAAACCATCCATTTCGGGGTACCCCCTTTTCAGGAAACCCCCATATTTGAAACCATCCACCAGTCCGGGCGACCGTTTTTGCATCTGTTTGCAGCTTCGTAAAACGCTTCTGTGGTCACCCCTGTGGTTGGCCGCCCCATCATCTTGACTGAGCTACGCCAACAGGTGTAGCTAACACAGCACTATGCATCGCAGGTTCGTGACAGTGCGATGGGTTTTATGTTGGTTTCCTACAAAAGTTGACTTTTTTGTGGAATAAACATGAGTTGAAGTGTTGTTTGTGTGTGTGCTTTCTACAGATCTCTCAAGGTTACCTCCTGCAAAAAGATTTCGCATATACTCAGTTTGACTGTTTCGAACCTTTTCTGTCACTACTGTCATTGTCATCGCCTATACTATATTTATCATCCGGGCAAATTACCATCATTCTCAAACCCCAAATCTGCAGAAATCAATCCGAACCATCATCTATATCGCGGTCGAGTTTGGTCGCAACATAATTCACCCAGCTTCATTGATTGGGTTTGCCCGAAAATGGTGCACTTGCAACTATGACGTTGTGCCAACTGTTTCACCATCTTATATATAAGGTACATGGATCCCACCACCAGTTTCCGGGACTGTGTTACTGGGAGCTTTAACTTCATACCCGAGTCGAGTGCGACATGGGCTGGATATACCCCAAAATGATTAGTGTGAAATGAGTGTGAATATGATATTGTCAACATTTGTCAACCATCAAATTTGAGAAAATCATGGAAAAGACCCATTTCGGACAAATCCATTCTCCTCTTCGCCGGTTTCGCCTTCCGCATCAGAAGCGCAACTTGGTGATTTGCAGCTCACCTTCATCGATGGTCAAGGAGGTACATAAAAAGGTCTCCAGCAGCATTTTGCTACAAAGAAGGCCCTCACCCAAGCAGGCGTCCACCAGTCCTGACGTTCGGGGTGATGGTGATGGAAACCTGAGGGGAAGTTAGGTCACTGGATACATTGGGGAACAAACCTCAAAATCCCAGGAAATGACCACCAAAAATTGGGCGAAACCTCACTGCAACGGAGAGTTTAACATCAGAACCCAATACATCATCAATGAAGGTGGAGCAAAGCATTTACAAATACTCAAACCACTATGTTCAAGCAGTCATGCATAGTTCCCATTGCCAGTTGCGACAGGAGGGCCCGCAGAGAAAGCCCCAACTCAATGCAATCTTGTTGATGCAGTATTCATGCATTCCATGTACGAAAAATCTGGCAAAATCTGCAAGGATAAACAGCCCGAAGATCTCCACTGGAAATCGCTAGCAATTCCTTCCCGCTTCCCAGATCGTTTCTCTCCAAGGCTCCCCAATCATTGACCTCTTGCACCACCTGGCTTTTCATCACCATCACATCCTAGGCTGCTTGAGATTGGTGAAGATTGATGTTAAAAGGTAAACCATCTGGTTATTTAACATAGCCATGGAAAATCACCATTTTTTTTGGGGGGTAAACCATCTTTAAATGGGCCATCTATACCATGGCTATGTTACCAGAGGGAAAACAAAATAAAGATGCACAGGATGACAGTTGACCACACTGGACCATCGTTTCATCATGGAATGTCAACTCCGGACCAACACACCCCGACTAATCAAAAAAATTGGTCCCGGGGCCATTTGGTACCCCAAAGGAACCAAAACCCTCCATCATAGTCCCATATTTTGCCCAGGATTCTCCTTTGATATCCCAAATTTCATGGTAGGTCATCATTTTCCCTAGGAAAAATTTGCCATAAATTGTGGGTAAACCATGGTAAACCTCCCACCGAGCATCCAGCACCTGCGAAGCCACTGGAACGCTATGTCTGTGTCCTTCGCCCTCTGCATGGATGCGGCAAGCGGCACGCAGGCGCAAGGCTTCAGCAGGCGGAAGGTAGCCTCTATAGGTGGAGATCTGGCAAATCCATGCTTTCCCCCCAGGACATGATCTACAATTTTGCTGGGTGTTCAGAACCATTTGCCACAAGAATTTATGGAGGTCTCTTAAAATAGTGGTACTTTTCCCCAAATCATCGATCTTAAGAGGATTTGTCCATTATAAAGCATCCATTTTGGTGTACCCCCCATTTTAAGAAACCCCCCATGTTAGTAAACCCTGCAGGGAGGTCGGAAGCGTCGACATCTCAACTGGTTTTTTATCGTGTTTTAGCGCCCAGCCGCTGGGAAGCTCGTCGCAAATGATGGCTAAATCATTCACCGTGGAAGGCACCATCACGCGGGGCGCTGGGATATCTTCCTGCAACGAGGTGATCGGAAGGGAAAGCGAGAAACCAACAGGGATATAACTGGAAGAATTGAGGGCTAATTAATGCACAAATAAAATCCAACCATGGGCACCAGAAGTTGATTTTTTGTTTTATACAAGTGTAGATGCAAATAGGTACAAGGTCAAACAACACAATCCCTTCCTCCTAACAGTTAACACTATGGGAAACCCCAGGTTTCTCAGTGCTTAGGGGATACAAAATTGTTCTTCCACAGTCAGTTGGGTCCTACCGGAGGTTCTTGCACTGGCGACAAACAAATCGCTGACTTGACCAAAAATCATCTCAGAGGTGGCATCAATGGGGTAGTTACCTTCCTGCCAGCTACTGATGGTTTTCCATCAGGCCTCCATCCATTCCAGGCTTGGTGCGCCGAGGGCGGAACCCTGACATCCGGCGAGATCCAGCCGCGGCGTTGCGAAAACCGACAGGAAACCTGTAGTTTCACCATGTTTTACCTATCAACTACTTGGATTTGCTTAAGGACCCTAAAAAAAAATCAAAAGCATTCCCTAAAGATCCCCCAAGTCGTGGATTTCCCATTGGGAAAATCAACAAATCTTGGCAGATACAGGATTGTAGCGCGGGTCCTGCAAACATTCCCAATGACCCCCCTCTGGTCTACCCCGGAGGGTCCTGTCCAGGAAAAAACATGATTAAATTTGTGAGGATCCCGACCTTTCTGACCATTAAAATCCTGGTACTCTAACCTTTCTAGCTAGAATCCACCTTCCAAGATGAAAAAAGGTTTGCAAGCACTAACGGTCCTGACACCTCACGTTTCCAGAAAGGCATTTGTCCTCTGAGAGATCATTTTCTGAACGGGAAACCATTGGTTTTCCACATCTATGTTAGTTTACCATAGGGTCACCCCCCATTTGTGGGAACAATCACAAATCCAGCCCGCCAGGTGACCTCGATCCCTTGGTTGATCCGCTTTCCAGAGCGATCGCGTGCAGCCAAGGGCAACTTCAAGTAGTCTCCTGGCGACGCTGGGCACCTGAGATCTTTCCAGATGCTCCAACTTCACTGGTGTGGCATGGAAACTGATAGGGTGAATTTGAGATATATAATTAAAATAACAATCTATCTATCTATCTATCTATCTCTCTCTCTCTCTCTCTCTCTGTCTGTCTGTCTGTCTGTCTGTCTGTCTGTCTGTCTGTCTGTCTGTCTGTCTGTCTGTCTGTCTGTCTGTCTGTCTCTCTGTCTCTCTGTCTCTCTCTCTCTCTCTGTCTGTCTGTCTGTCTGTCTGTGTCTGTCTGTGTCTGTGTCCGTCTCTCCGTCTCTCCGTCTCTCCGTCTCTCCGTCTCTCCGTCTCTCCGTCTCTCCGTCTCTCCGTCTCTCCGTCTCTCCGTCTCTCCGTCTCTCCGTCTCTCCGTCTCTCTGTCTCTCTGTCTCTCTGTCTCTCTGTCTCTCTGTCTCTCTGTCTCTCTGTCTCTCTGTCTCTCTGTCTCTCTGTCTCTCTGTCCATCCGTCTGTCCGTCTGTCCGTCCGTCCGTCCGTCGGTCGGCCGGTCGGTCGGTCTGTCTGTGTCTCTCTCTCCGTCTCTGTCCTCTCCTTGTCTCTCCGTGGTCTCTCTGTGTCTGTCTCTGTCTGTCTCTGTCTGTCTCTGTCTGTCTCTGTCTGTCTCTGTCTGTCTCTGTCTGTCTCTGTCTGTCTCTGTCTGTCTCTGTCTGTCTCTGTCTGTCTCTGTCTGTCTCTGTCTGTCTCTGTCTGTCTCTGTCTGTCTCTGTCTGTTTCTGTCTGTCTCTGTCTGTCTCTGTCTGTCTCTGTCTGTCTCTGTCTGTCTCTGTCTGTCTCTGTCTGTCTCTGTCTGTCTCTGTCTGTCTCTGTCTGTCTGTCTATTGATCGATTGATCTATCTTTCTATCTTTCTATCTGTCTGTCTGTCTATCGATCGATGTATCTATCTACCTATCCATCTATCTACCTAGCTATCTATCTATCTATCTGTCTGTCTATCTGTCTGTCTCTATCTATCTATATCTCTCTGTATCTATATCTATCTATCTCTATCTATATCTAGTTCTATCTCTATCTGTCTCGATCTCTTTCTCTATCTATACAGTTCTATCTATATCCATCTCTATCTATCTCTATCTATATCTATCTATATCTATCTATTTCTATCTCTATCTCTATCTCTATCTATCTCTATCTCTATCTATCGATTTCTATCTCTATCTATGTCTATCTCTATCTATCTCTATCTATCTCTATCTATCTCTGTCAATCTCTGTCTATCTCTGTCTCTCTCTCTCTCTGTGTCTATCTCCATCTATTTTTATCTATATCGTTCTATCTCTATCTATCTATATCTATATCTTTACACATATATATATATATATATACGTCTATATCTCTCTCTATGCCTATCTGTATCTATCTATATCTATATCTATACATACATATATATATATATATGAGCAGGGACCCCCACACCCCCCCCCCGACCCAGCCAGATGGTTCCCCCCCCCCCTGTGGCAGGGGAGGTGGGGTTTTCTCAGCAGCCAAGCCATGGTGTATGTAGTCTTTATAGTGCATATAATGCATATGTATCGATAATTAGAATGGATATACTATATGCAATATAGAGTGTATGTGTAGTGTATATATATATATATATATACATATATATATATAATGTGTAAGATATAAATAGAATATATGCAATCCATATATATTTATAATATATATATATTTGACATATATATACATATATATATATATTGAACATATATATACATATATATACATCGTATATGTGGTTTTTGATAAAATATAGATAGTATATGCCACATGTACTGTATCCACAGTAGATGTAATATATACAATATAGGTAAATATGTTCGTTGAATAAATTTTACATAGTATATGTGGTATATTGAATATCGACAGCAATACACGCTGTATATCTAGAGTTTATGTATATATATATATGTATATATATATATGTGGCAGGGACCTTTGGGGTCTATTTCGTTCCTCCTCGCACAAACGTAATCAAACGTCATTCTATATGCATATATACTATATACACAAGTAAATATGTCTACATGTGTGTACAAGTTCAACAGAAAGTCGCAATTTTTTCCCTTGCCCCTCAACCTGCGCAGCGTCCGTTTTCTGCTCCAAGAGATGCTGTCACCAGCACGCGCGAACGCACGCCAATTTGAACTCTGGGCAGAAGAGTCCTCCAGTGTCAATTGTGTTGCTTTCCATCCCTGCAAGCTACAAAGTTTTGGAATACGCATGCAAGTTTGGGACTCTTGTGCGCTCATGCATGGGAATGTTTTGGTTGTCAGGAGTTTGTAGTTGTTCAACTGGTTGCAATATTAGTAATAAGCATAGTTTTATAGAAAAAACCTTAAAGGAACCTCATGGGCATGTAACACAAGCAACAAAGCAATGCAAACATGTTCCACCACTTCCACCTGTAGTGATGAAGAGGGAGGGTGATGGCGGCCAACCCCCTTCATTTTGTCATACTCATCACTTCATTGTTTTTGGCCCCGCTGTCGTCCCCTCTCAGGATCCTTTGAATGAAGAAGAGTTGCAAAAGCAGACCTTGGACCTCTTGGTGAACTTTGCATACAGGCTGCAGATGGATGGCCTGATGCCTGACCTGCCAGAACAGCCACCAGGTGAGCCCAGTAGTGGATCTGGTTTTCTGCGAGAAGTGGAAGGTTCTAAAGCCAAACACCCAGGTGCACCACTACTTGAAGCTTCTATGGCAATGGCACCTGGCCCAAGTCCAGTATCTGCACGTCTTCACCAGCCAGTGCAACTACGGTTTTGCCAGTTCAACCTGATGTTGGTTTATTGGCACCTGCCACTCCTGAAGTACCCCCTCTGAGGCTTCAGCAGCATGCATCCCCAAAGAACTACCTGGTCCAGTTCCAGAAGCAATGGGGGAGGTTGACCTGTACTCCTGACCAGGTGAAGAAGCTTCTTTATTGCACCAAACAAAAAGGCTCTCAAGCTTCGACTGGGCCGTCCTCTACTCAAGATGTATCTGATAGGAAATTCATGCATTTTCTCAAGCATCATATGTTTCTATGGTTTTGCTTTCTGTGTGGGATTCAAGTTTCTTGATCTATGCATTTAGTATTGTTCATTCTCAGGTACCAGAGTTCGTGCCTCCTCGAGGAACTTCTAGTGGAGGTTGGTTCAGGAAAGTTTCTGGGCTAGTAGTTGCTTGGAAGCTTGGAGAAGCGCACAGGATGAGATGCCTACTATAACGATGGGAAGAGGATTTCACGGGTGAAGGCGTATGTGGCAGCTTTGGTGGGCTACGTCAAAAAGTGTGGATGGCAAAAGAACTTGGAGGGTGAGTATGGCTTGAACACTTGTACTCGCCTAAGATCTTACTGACTCCAGCAAAGCCTGGGTGGTTAAAAAAAACCTTATATCAAACTATCAAACAGTAAGAATTTCAATTCTGTTTCTAAATTGAAAATAAAGCAGTCGCAATTTTCAATTCGGAAATCGAAATTGAAAATCCAACAGTCACCATTTCAATTCAGAAATTTAAATTGAAAATCAAACAGTCGCCATTTAAATTCAGAAATCTAATAGAAAATCAAACATTCACCATTTCAATCAGAAATCTACCTTGAAAATCAAACGATCACCATTTCAATTCAGAATTCCAAATTGAAAATCAAACAATCTCCATGTCAATTCAGAAATCTAAATTGGAAAACAAACAGTTGGCATTTCAATTCAGAACCTTAACTTGAACCTACAATAGTATATTTTTTACTTTTCAGATTTTGATATTAATTTGGTTTACTATTTGGCACAACTATCAAAAAAATAATGTAGTTTTTACATAAGCAGCCTTTAGGGCTTTCATTTTTTTAGCCAAAAAGCACATTGATGCTTTCATTTTTTGAAGCTGTCACAAGTATAGCACATTGATGCTTCAGGTTTTGGTGTTCCATTAGTGCATCAGACATGTGTCCTTTGCATTTTTCTTGTCAAGGTGTAAGCTGTCAGGATGTCCAGTAATAGGGGTCAGGCACGGGGTTCAGCCACTGATCCAATGGTATCTCGACAGTTTCAAACCTGGACCTCATCCAATGGATGGAAGAGCCTCTGGTATGTCGAGATTCATCAATCAGGTTTTGATTCTTGGTTACCAGGTTGAAATTCATCATGTTTTTAAAGCATACGGGAACTCAGGTAGTATGAGGATAGACGTAAACAAATTGCTCGCTTGCTCAGGCAGGATGCTCTTGAGCACTTCAAGCAGAATGAAGGCCCACATCTTTTGCCTGCCAGCCTGAAGAACTTGATCAAAATCAGTTACATGTTGGCTGGGGTCCCTGTTCCTTCTGGCGATGCTATCTGCGCCTGATAGCTGCAGCTGTATGCCCATAGTGCATGGAAAGCCTGGATGAAAACATACTTGGGTGGAATCAAAATACTGTGGGGGGAGAAAAAATATTAAAAAAAAACACCATGTGGTGTACTTGTTTTTTTCTGGCCCAGTGGCCTTTCCTGCTATTTTGAAACTATTGTGGTTTATGCCCAAGGGGCTTTCATGTAAAGGTCCAGGGTTGGGTATGAGAGCCCACTGAAGTTTATATGCTTCTAACCTTAAAGGGTCCCAGAACCCATTCCCACCGACTCTTGCTACAGGTTTTGCTGATAGGGCTTTCATTTTATTTTGTAAACTAAATTGTTTCTGCCCAAAGGGGCTTTCATGTAAAGGCTTAAACTCCTTTATCCCATGCCCAAAGGAGCTGTCATAATTCTAACTTTGAAGGTTAGCAGAATCAATTCTCTTCTGCTTCTGCTGCAGTTGGCCCATAGGAATTGTGGGCTCACCTTAGCCTAGATCCTTTGATCACCATGGCTACTTGGGACGTTGAAGACTTAGTCAAGGAGATTAGTGATATGGAAGCGATTTACCAAAGGAACGCTGGTTCACAGCTGGTGCCACGAATGCAGGAAGCTTTGCAGTCCAAAGTGAA